CCTCCCTCCCCGTTTCATTTCTACCACATCATTCTCTCTCTCATCCTCATCCTCCGCCTCATCCTCCTCCTCCTCCTCCTCCTCCTCCTCCTTCATCTTCACCTTTCCGTTCCCGTCGATGTCGATGGCCTCAAGCATACTGCAAGCACCAGTCAATCCTCCTCCTCTTGGCTCTCTCCTCCTCCCTTCTCTCCCCCCTTCCTCTACCTGTCGATCAGCTGCTCCGAGGGCTCTTTCCCTGCAGCAGCCTGTCAAGGAGGGGAGGAGAACGAGGACAAGGACAAGGACCAGGACCTAGGAGGATGAGGAAAAATGGAGGAGGAGAGGGTTACCGAGCTTTCGGGTGACCGCCATGGTAATCTCCTCTCTATCAAGGTAGCCGCTTCCATCGGCATCCAGGTCTTCGAAGTTCCCAAGCCCCAGCCAGATCTCCTGCGATCCGTCGTCAACCTCTCCTCCTGCTCTCTTTCTCCCTCCCCTTCTCTCCTTCTGCTCTTCCTCTCTCCTCTCTCCTCTCTCCTCTCTCCTCTCTCTCGCTCTCTCGCTCTCTTACCGACGCCTTATGCTCGAGAACAAGTTTGAACGCGAGAGAGAAGACGTTCTCATCTGCTCGCAAGGTCAACCTCTAACCCTCCTTCTCCTCCTTCCTCCTCTTCCTCCCTTTGCCCTTCTGCTCCCTCCAGTCCTCCTCTCCCTCACTACCAGGAAGTAGCAGTGGGTTCTCCTTGGCCCACGCAACGAGCGGCTTGATGTCGCAGAAACCTGTAGCCTTTATGAGCTCCTCACCCTCCTTCCTTCTCTCCTACCCCTCTACCTCAACGTTATCATCGACCTACTCCTCCTCCTACTACTACTACTACTACTCTACTACACGTTGTATTCCTCATCCTCATCCTCATCCTACTTCTATCTTTATGTCTTTTTCTCCTCTTGCCTGCCAGGAGGTTGCGAGGAAGCGCGACGTTGAAAGTGTCTTCGTCCCGAACTCTCTTGCCTGCGATAAGCATCAGAAACAAGACGAGGGGAGCCATCGAGGTAAGTGAAGACGAAGTGAAACAGCAGGTAGCAGGTAGCAGGTAGCAGGTAGCAGGTAGCAGGTAGCAGGTAGCAGGTAGCAGGCAGGAGGTAGCAGGCAGGAGGGGTCAGGATACCATGGACATGGGTTAGGTTGTTTTCATCGTCTATCGTCATGGAGGGATCGCATTGGAGAAAGCCTCTCTTTTCCATGTGCACAGGCTGAAAGTTTTGTTCAAATCCCATCCCTGAAATTTTCAAATCTCTCTCATATATACTCACCCCCTCCCTCGAAAACTTGACAGCTTCCTTAATGACCTGTATACAAGTCATCCACCTACTCCCTTCTCCCCACTCTCTCTCACTTCTCTCCCCCTTTCTGCTTCACTCGATTATTGCTCTTTCCTTCTTCCCCACTTTCACTCTGTCCCGATTACATCCCTTCTCCTAATTTTTGCAACCCCCCCTCCCTCCTTGATCCTGCCTCCTTCCGCAAGTAACCTCTCCTCCCTTCCTCTCTTCCCTTCCTCTCCTCCCTTCCTCTCCTCCCTTCCGCTCCTCCCTTCCTCTCCTCTCCTCCCCTCTCCTTCACCTTCCCAGGCATCTCCACCACCACCATCTTGGTCGGAAACGGCAGCTCAGCCTGTAGCTCCCTGCTCCTCCGTCATTCTCCCCGCAGACGACGCTTCCTCTCGTACATGTAAGTGATCTTCCCGCTCGGGTAATCCCTGCTCCCTCCTATCGTGGCCCCGTTGATCATGGCGCAGTCAGCTCCGAGCTCGACCCGGCAGGCCCTGCAGGACCTTGAGGAGAGGACGGGGGGCAGGGGCCTAGAACTCACTCGCATATCAGAGATCCTACGGTCGTCTGCATCAGCCTCGTCCCCTTGGAGGAGAGGGGAGAGAAGATTGAATCTCGGCCTACCACACAGACGCTCTCGTTCTGCAGCACGCTGCCAAGAGGTGAGGACAAGGGGAAGAGAGGGAGCGGAAACCTTAGGACGTGGAGATGCTTGTCAAGCACGTCAGCCATCTCCTTATCATGCTCCATGTTGGTGATATCCTGTATCCTCGTGTCCTTGTAGATCACTACTTGCCCCTGCGACTCGTCCTTCTCGATCCAAAGGTCGCAGATGGCGACGTTCTCGCAGTTGCAACCGGCCTTGACGATCGTGCACTCGTTCACATCTCTCACAATCACTTCGTGCTCGTGACCCCCGAGGATCACGGGGAAACCAAACTCCTCGCTCGCGAGCTTCACATCCGAAGAAAGGCTCTGATGCGTCAACGGGACTACCAGGTCTACCTTCTCCTTCCGCAACTCCTCTGCTATCTTCCTCGCGCACGGCAAGATCTCTTCGATCGTGTGCCCCTTGAACGTCGAGTCTCTGAACGCTCCTGGCTCCTGCAGCACGAGGCCCAACAGCCCGAGCTTGACGCCTCCCGCCGTCGTCACCACGTCGAATCTCTTGGTGAGGTCGGGAAACAAGGAGGGCATGTTGGAGTTCAGCCAGACCCCTCGGAACTCTCCGACGCGCTTCGAGAGCTCCTTGAGGTTCAGGTCGGCCTCATGGTTCCCGAAGCAGACGTGAGTCACCTGCAGCCGCTGGGGATCACGGGGAGGCTGCGGCAGGTAGCCATGAAGAGACTTACACCGAGATGGTTGAGACAGTCCACCATGGCGCGACCCTTGTCGAGCGGCGAGAGAGCATTGGGCGAGACGAAGTCTCCGTTCAACACCTGCAGCAAGACAAGTGAGACGACGAGACCGACGACCTCGCGCCTACTGTAAGAGTGAGATGCGGCCCGGCACGGAGTTGCTTGAGGAGCCTTGCGAGCGCCGGAAAATGTCGAAACTTTGGGTTTGAGGAGAGCAAATCATCAGCAATATGGCTGACATGTCGAGTTGATACCTCGTATACATCGTTGAAGCTGACGATCCGTATGAGCTCCCTTCCTCCCTTCATGTCGAACTGAACTCCCCTGTTGGACTGTTGTGCTCAGGATCTTCTCCTCCCAGTCTTCCTACTCGCGACTCACAAAGAAGCTCTTCCTCTCCCTCTTCCTCTCGCTGCTCTCCCTCTCTCCTGCTTCTCTCCTTCGCTCTTCCGCTCCCTTCTCCTACACCCCTTCCCCCGTCTCCCTTACCGTCTCCTTCCCCACAAACCAAAAAAGATTTTTTATCTTTTCTTTTTAGCTTTTACGGGGGCCGAAAAAAATGCTGGGGAGACCCTGCGCTCGGATGAGGTAAGTGAGAGGCGGGGGGATGGGGAGGAAGAGAGCATGTCGGGTGTTGGAGATGTCAGACTCCAAGGATGCAGTAAGATGGTTGGAGGCGGACATGGCAGAAGGGAGGTTGAGATACAGTGAGTGACGAGGGACTGCTCTTTGGTGTTTGTGCCTGATGAGTGTGCTACGTGCGTGTTGTTTTGTTGCTACTCTGCAGGACATCTTGTGATTTTTGGCATTTCAAATGCATCTGTGCTGTTATTTGCTTTACAAAAGCATTATTCGTCTGTCACAGAGTAGACACTGCCTGCAACATTCCAACTGTGACCACAAGAATATTCGTTTCAAACCTGTCCTCCACAAACATGACCTTCGATCCTTTCTTATTCTAATCATGCTGTGTACACGCAGGCCTGCGTTTGTATCCTTGGTCATTCCATTCCGCTCCATCATCTTACACCAAATGTCATCATCAGCGTCGTCGAGCTCGACTTCAGATGGGTGAGGTTTGTGTTTGTGTTAAGCAGATTCATAACACATGGCTTCCAGGAATCAGCTGGTGCAAGAAGTGTTCTGGGAGAAGATGTGGACAAAGGATGGTATTCTACAGCCGGGCCAGGCGTTCGACATGGGACGTTGCAGTCCTGTCTTGACAAACTTGTTGAAACAAAGGGAGCAGACTTGCAAATCCAAGGACATGCACGTATGGAAGTGTTCTCATGCTAACTCGTATGAATACGTACAACAGGCGTTGGTTCCTGGATGTGGACGAGGATACGACGTCTTTGAGTTTGCTCGATTCGGTTACACGGCCCTGGGTATCGACTTGTCGACGACCGCGGTGCATGAAGCGACCAAGTCTGAGAGGATGTGAGGAAAGGGTTTTGCTCTGATTCCAAACAGGTTGAAAGATGAGATCTCTGCAAAGGAAAAGCTGCCGGGCGACGCAAGCTTCTCCCTGCAGAACTTCTACGAGCTCCAGGTCGAGTTGAGACTCTACAACTTCCAACCTGAAAGCGCCTTGTGAAGCCGCCGAAAGAAGGTTTTGACATCATATGGGATTACACGTTTCTTTGCGCCATGCCGCCGGAATTCAGAGAGAAATGGGCAAAGAACATGAGACGACTCATCGCACCAGACGGCGAGCTTGTCACCTTGATCTATCCTCTAGGTGTTTCCTCCCCGCGTTTTTTCAGTAGGGCTGATAGGGGAGCAGGGGATTACGAGGGAGGGCCTCCCTACGCCATGTCGCGCGAGCTGGTCAGCAGCCTCCTCGAACCTCAGGCACTCTCCTCGAAGCTGAGAAAAGACGATGACGTGGTGCAGGGGTTCGAGTCGACTTACATGGAGCCGGTGACCGGAGGTCTGAGCCACCCGAGCAGGGAAGGAAAGGAGGTCTGTTCAGTGTGACAGAGTTCTGTTCGTCTAAGCGCTTGCTTCAAGGTTCTTGCTAGATGGAAGGTCAAGAACTGAGAATCAGAGCAAGAGTCTGCAACGTCAGCCTTCTGTCGACCATGACATCAATCATTGCGAGCAACATTGAATGACATTTCACAACCAGCTGAAACATCAATTTTCAACCGCTTGTGTCTCACCTGCTTCACCTCCACTCTAGATGCCCTCTTTGCACATTGCTCATGTCTCTTTTCTTCGTATCTCTTCTTGTCCTCGACGTCTTGATTCCGATTCGACCGAGACTGAGTGTTGATCTTGATAACAAAAGGACGAGGTAGAGCGACACGGCTCACAAGTAGGAGGACAGAGGCAATGCAGTTATCCGAACGGATCGAGAAGGTGGAAAAGAGAGATGACAGTGGTGATGGTGGAGTAGCGACGGTGAGGAGGAGGAGGAGGAGGAGGAGGAGGAGCAGCAGCAGCAGCAGCAGCAGCAGCAGCAGCAAGAGCAGCAGATGTCTCTGCCAGAGAGGTCTGTTGGCCCTTGAAGAATCGCAGGATAGTATCCTGTGGAAATTTATAGCAACCCCCTTTTTACATGGATATATTCATCCTTGGGTAAATTTTTTTTGGTCGCGATTTTGTACCTGTGGCCCTGACTAAAAGTTTTTACAGCATATTTGATATCTAATTTTACCTCATAAAACCATTTTGTGAAGCCATATCAGGATTTTATAAACAGTTTTAAGGTATTCTCTAAAACTACCGTTTGTAGGCCCCATCCCACCCCCACCCATTACTCATCTGTTGGTTTACTGGATATGAAGGGGGTGGGGTGGGGGGCCAGAAAGACGGAGACTGAGCGAAGACGCAGCGTCATGGAGGAGATGCTGTAGGAGGAGGAGGAGACAGATGAGGAGGACGAAGACGACGTCAAGATGAGAAGGAACGTGTGCAGATACAAGACGAGATGATGAGTAGTGCAGCAGAAGCATCCTCAGAGGTGGAAGAGACAGCACAAGGGCTAGAAGAGAATAGGATGATGAGGACTGGAATGGGCGGAACATTAGATGTAGATTGAGCAACAGTAGCTCATGGTAGGTGAGATAAAGTTTCCAATAGATGATGATTATGCTTCACCCTCGTAAAGATGCATAAAATGCAGGGTCAAACGCTGATGCAATCACGGGAGTGAAAGTGTTCTGAGGTGAAGCAAAGTGTGAATCTAAAAAGCGAGGAGATTGAAACATCAAGTTTCCTCGCCAACTCAGCAATGAAATAGACATAGAGCAAGAAACTCCACTAGCTGAGCTCAGAGTGGCAGGGACATTTCAATTTCATTGGACGAATGTTGAAAGCATTCAGCTGAATTGAGTTGCAGATCTGAAATCTTAAGAGGGCCTTGAAACGCGTGTCACCTAGATTGAAACTCTCAATGCCACAACGATGAAGACGCCAAGTCGATGAAGTAAGTCAGAAACTTGTCGGTTGTGAGGGCATCATGCAAAATCAAAACATGTCTCTGGACCAGTGGGGGAGTGAGCAGAGCAAAAGCTTCAAGCCCAATGAACAGATGCTGATCGGTCATGGGCAGATTGCTGGGCAACAGTTTGTGACTAACGGACAGACGAATCGTTCAGAGGTCGCTCACGATTCGCTTGTGAATGAACTCATGAATGAAGTCGAAGCCAAGCGCAATGAGCTCGAGCACATGACCATATCTGTGGTGCAGTGGAAGCAGAGCTTCAAAGATAAGTTGCAGCAAGAGAAGAACGAGATACAGCGAGACGCGGCGAGAGCGGAGGCCGTCCACATGTTCGATAAGACGATGCTGCAAGAGAAGATGTCTCAACGGATCCTCCATGTCTACCACCATCTCTGTACTGCCGTCGCCTTTCAGAAACTGAGAGAAAATCGCAAGCAGTCGCTGTGGTTGCAACGGGTGAAGGAGCTGAAGCACAATAACGAGAACCTCAAGGAGGAGCTCGAGATCGCCTCCTCCAACTCCCTCAACCTCTCCACGGACTTCTCTCAGAACGAGCTGGTGCAGCGAATCAACTCCTCCCTCTCTTGCTTGATCAGCATCGCCGAGGGCAACGACAACGAGCAGGAGGGAGGATGGGTCCTGTCCGATGTTGTCAGCGTCGGCAACGCGCTGGTGGCGGAGAAGCTTCGGAGTCTCCTGATGGTGATCAGAAAGTTGCGGGAGGATGAAGCTGCGCTGCAGCAGCAGGTCGAAAGTCTTTCGCGCGGTCACCCTGCCATCGCCTACCTCCAGGTGCCCCATGGAGTTTGAGGACAGAAGAGGCGAACTGACATGGTTGTTGTTAGGAGCGAGTGTCGGACCTGGAAAAGGAAGTGCTGTCTAAGAAGAATACCATCAGCTCTCTCAACCTGCGATTAGACACTGAACAAGAACTGCACAGAGAGATTCTGAGGACCAACTACGGTCACGAGGTAGCGATTTTCCAGAGCTCAAGGCAAGTCTGACCTGCTGCAGACCAAGTCTCTGGCCGAGAAGGTGCTGAAGTTGGAGGAGGAGAACATCACGCTGAGGAAGAAGCTACGGGAGTTTGAAGATTCCTTCGAGTACTACAACACCGTGGAGTCGGCAAAGATACCAGAGAATGCAAAGAACGAAAGAGATGGTCAAGATATGAAAGCTGGTGCATCTGCTGGATGTATGTAGTATCTTGCTCACTTTGGGATCCAGGGAACATGGACAAGAGGCTCAAGGTCTTGGAGGAGGAGTTGAGGATAAGGATAGTCGAATCTTCGAAGTACAAAGCAGAGCTTGATGACATGAAGAAAGCAAGAGCATCGAGAGATACGGCGAGTGTGGATGGTGTCGAGTTGAGGGAGCTCAAGCAACAGAAGGCTGCAGCCGAGAAACGCGCAGAGGAGGCTGGTGAGGCTGAGATGAGTGTTGTTTCAACGGGTTGTGACCCGTAGGATCGCAGAGGCGAATCTCAAGACTGAGCAGCAGAACATGTGGAGGTTGAAACAAGACTTCAAACAGCTCGAGGCCAGACTCTCCGAGACTGGCACACACAGGGCCGAGAACCACTCGAGCGCGAACTCACCGAAGCTTTACTCTCGAGACTCTCAGAACAGCAACTTCTCAGCTTACTCCTCTCCAGCTAGCTTCGAGCTGCAGAGAATGCAGAGAGAGCTGAAGATCATGTCGGAGCTGAAGGAAGCAGCGTTGCAATCGCTGGACAGCTTGAGATCAGAGATGGTGGATGGGATAACCAGCATCGACTTCTCCAACCTCCGTATCGAGAGCGAGATAGGAAGCGGCAGCTTTGCAAGAGTGAGCTTCGCAAGAGTCTCCGGTGTTGGCTTGTCTGACCTGTTGGCTCGCAGGTCTTCAGAGGCGAATGGACGAGACCCTGCGCCATCAAGAAGCTCAGAGTTCTCTCCAATCGGAGACAACTTCATGACTTCTACAGAGAAGCTCAAATCTTGCAGTGAGCGCTTGACGTGCGCCGTCAGTCCCGTGCTGAAAAGATTGCAGGATGTCCAACCATTCAGGGATTGTCAAACTCATGGGAATCTGCATGAACATTCCGGATTTGTATCTAGTGACAGAGTTGGTTGTCGGTGGATCGTTGGAGGACTTGCTACACGTCGAGAAGCGAAGGCTGTCTGGGACTGAAATCCTGAGCATCAGCATGCAGATCTCTGACGCCATGCAATTCCTGCACATGGCGAACATAGTCCATCGAGACCTGAAGCCGAGCAACTGCCTGGTAGGACCTTGTTCTTGTTGCTCCTCCCACTCACTCACTCCCAGATCGACCATCATGGGGTTGTCAAACTTTGTGACTTTGGTCTTGCGCGGGTGCTGGGGCGGGAGATGTCGCGCAACAGCGAGTCTCGACGAGCAGGCACCCCCGTGTACCTCGCGCCGGAGGCTCTGGCAGGTGCCCCCACCACCAACAAGGTCGACATATACAGGTGAAGCAGCAGCCCCAGCAGAGGCTCAAGAGCTCGTCTGACCCTCCTTCTCAGCTTCGCCATCATCTGCTGGGAGATGCACACGGGCGAGCAAGCGTGGTTTGCGCTCGACTACACCCACATGGCCACCATCGTGCTCAGAGACCATGGAAGGCCCATCATCCCTCCCGACATGTCGCGCGAGTGGAAGGAGCTTATCGGGGTGTGCTGGGCTCAGGACCCGGGGGATCGACCCTCCTTCACCGCCATCATCGTGTCGCTGACGGAGATGGGTAAGAGTCTCCTGCTGCCGATGCCGAGTGACTTGACCTCGAAGGCGCTCCGAAACCGATCCGGCATGGTAAGAACACGCCGTTCAAGAACGTCGAGCTTGTTTGAGCAGTTTGTACAATTTCATTCTTCTCTTAAAAAGTTGTGAATGAGGGAGAGGCCGCAGTGCGATCGAGCTCTTCCACGTTGCGATAACGTCGAGCAACAAACAGATTAAACAAATTATTCAGCCTTCATCAGGCGATTCATTCCAAAAACAATCGCCGCCTCTCTTCGAAGGGTATTCTACATCTTCGCCGCACGCGGTGGGCCAAACTTAGGCTGGACATCCTTGTTGACGAGGTTACCCGCAGGAGGGCTGCCGTCCAAGGCAGCGATAACTGCTCCTGCGATCTCAGCGCCCACTCTGTTCTGAGCCTCGATGGTGCTGGCTCCGATGTGTGGGGAGGCCTGGAACCTGTCCGACTCGAAGAGAGGGCTCTTGCCGCAAGGCTCCACCTCAAACACATCCAAGGCCAGCGAGTTGAGCTTGCCGCTCTTGAGAGCAGCTGCAGCTGCCTCTTCGTCGATGATGCCTCCGCGTCCGCAGTTGACGATGTGGTTTCCACACTTGGTACCATCCGGTGCCACTCCAGGCATCAACCCAATCATCTCAGTGTTAACCATGTGCCTGGTCTGCGGGGAGAGGAACGCGTGGATGGTAATGTGGGTGCAAGCTCTGAAGACATCCTGCACTGTAGCATGCCTGGTGGCGTTGAAGTTCGCCAAGACGCTGTCAGGGAGGAAGGGATCGTACACATGGATGTTCATCCCAAGAGCCAAAGCGACACGGCCAAGGGCCTGACCAATCCTGCCAAATCCGATGAAGCCCAGATTCTTGCCGGCGAGCTCGTGTCCCACAAGTTCATTCTTCAACCACTTGCCGTCTCTCAAAGTACGATCGGCCCGAGTGATCTGTCGAGCCTGGGCAAGAAGATGTCCAAGCGCTAGTTCTACCACCGAGTTGGTTGCACTGAGCGGGGAGTTCACCACCATGACACCAGCTGCCGAGGCTGCCTTCAGGTCGACGTTGTCCACACCAACTCCAGCACGAGCGATCAATCGAAGCTTGCTTCCTGCTTTCTCGGCAGTTGCCTTGATAATTGCAGCAGTCAACTTGGTTGCAGAACGAATGATGATTGCATCCCACTCCGCGAGGGCTCCCGCAGCGAGCTCCTCCTTGCTCAACTTCTTCTTCACGACCTCGTGGCCGGCAGAAGACAAGGCCTTGACAGCACCGTCAGCTAGACCATCGGTGATGATGATTCTCATCTTCTTGACATCTCCATTCTTGATCTTGGTATGTGCATAGTCAACCCATTGCATGAGAGCGTTGACATCCGCAGTCTCCACAGTGGGTCCACACCAGATGCGCAAGCCGGCAGGGGCGTCACGATAAGCCCCAATGTCATAGGCAACCTTGTTCCTCTCCAGCAGGGAAAGCATGGTCTTAACCTGATCCTTGCTCAGGTCGTTGATCACTAAGCACACGCTGGTGTTGGACACGGTGGCAGGGTCCTTAGCCAAAAATTGAATCCAAGGGTTCTTCTCAACAAAGGATTTCACAACATTGAAATTTCTCATAGAACGCTGGATCAATCCATCCAATCCACCACATCCCTTGGCCCATTTCAAAGCATCAAGGTAATCTTCAAAGCAAGCCATGGATGGAGTGTTGATGACGTCTCCCTCAAAGATAGCCTTGTCCAACTTCCCACCCTTGGTCAAGCGGAAAATCTTTGGAAGAGGCCATGCGGGCTTGTAGGATTCCAAACGCTGCACCGTTCGTGGAGAGATGACAAGCATGCCATGTGCACCTTCTCCACCAAGGCACTTCTGCCAGGAGTAGGTCAACACATCAATCTTGCTCCAGGGGATATCCATCGCGAAGGCTGCAGATGTCGCATCGCAGATAGAAAGTCCTCCACGATTATCGGGAATCCAATCACCATTTGGGACCTTCACACCACTGGTGGTTCCGTTCCAAGTGAAGACAACATCGTCATTCCAATCGATGCTCTTGAGGTCGGGAAGTTCTCCGAATGGTGCCTTGAGATTGCGCAGCTTGGGGAGTTTCAGTTGCTTCTCAGCATCGGTAAACCATCCAGAGCCAAATGACTCCCAATGGCATACAGTGACACCCCTCGGGCCCAACAATTGCCACATCATCATCTCTACAGCACCAGTATCCGATGCTGGAACCATGGCTACGAGGTAATCCTTGGGAATCTTCAGGATTTCTTTTGTCAGGCGCATGCTCTCCTTGATCTTGTTCTTTCCGATCGCTGCGCGATGGGATCTTCCGAAAGGAGCATCAGCATATGCAACTCCGGGATTGAACCCAGGGCGCTTGGCACAAGGCCCAGACGAGAAGTTGGGACACGCCGGTTTGGGAGGGGGAGCAGACATCTCCAAGAAACTGAAAAGAAACATGTCAGAACAAAACAAGAGCGCAAGGTCATGTTAGTTTGCAGATATGATGGCTGTGAACATTTGCAGTTCATATGATTTGATTCGCAATAGGAAAGATGCGCAGCGGGTTGGAGAGCCACGAAGAGGGCGGATGTCAGGAAGAGATGCGGGTCATCAGAACTCCATGAAAGGTCAAACCGAGCCACACTAAACATCATACATCATAAAAGTAAGTGCCATCGAGAAGTCAATGTGAGAAGAAGACGAAGTCATGAAGACTTTAAAGATGAGTGAGCGTAGAGGGCCGCTTGAGGCACAACAAGGTTATGAGGGTTCGGAAAGAGGGAAGAAACCAGACAGCTGAGGAACAACAAGTAATATAGGGTGCCGTGGAGATCTCCAATAAATCGGAGCAATAAGATAAAGAAGGGGAGCAGAACGGATAGAACAAGTTCTTGTTTCTACGAAGCCGTACCAACAAAGCAATGACAGACAAAAACGGAGCACTGTAGAGAAGAAATCGGATTCAGAGAATGGGGATGGATAGAAGGATACAGATAAATTAAGGAATGTGTTGCTAAAAATGATACGATGACGATAACCAAGTGATAAAGCAGAACGTGGGGAGCAGACGAAGATGAAGCGGAACGGTGTGTCAGGCATGCGGTACGAGAACATTTCGTTTCGCTCCAGACGAGGAGAGGATCTAGCCTGCATGGAAGCAGGTAGAGAGGCATAAGGAGGACTGCGAGCAAGGCAGGGATGAGCGTGTGGGCGTAAGATAAAGCAGAAGCAGCGGCATAAATGCTTGCATGCAGCCATGGGCGCAGGGGTCTTGTTTGGGAAGCGGCTCGTGAGGAAGTAGAGGGGGTGGGGGGGTGGGGGTATAAAGGGAGATGTGAAGAACGGGGGTGGGGATGACGATGGGTTTCTACGACTGGGTAGGGTGGTCAATAGTTCATCCAGGGTGGGGTATGTGCAGACGCAAACAGGGGGTAGTCAACGTGAAAGAGAAGCCATCGCATCGTAGAGTGTGCAAGTACCGCTAAATCTGAAGGGATGTCACTATAGTAATGACGTTGGTACATCCGCCTGAATGTGGTGCGGAGTATCCCATGGGGGGTCATCTTTTGATGGGGGTGAGGGTGGGGTAACTTTGTACACTCTGTCCATGTTTGGGGTACTGCATAACGGCGTAAGCGAAGGGGTAAGGTGGGGTGGAGTGGTGGGCTTTGAGGAGACCCGGGGGGGCGGATCTGGTGGGATGGATAGAGGCATTTGAACTAAGGTCAATTATTTGTGTCTAAAATTTGAAAATAAGTCGACATATATTCAAATACGTGCCATAATCGGGAAGTGAAGTTGAGTGATACTTTCCAAAACGGCCTCCCACTTATTTTAGTCAAAGTAAGGCTTGAATTTCGTCGATTCAAAAATAAGTAGATGCAGTTGACCCCTATTGGAAAATATGTCCAACCTATTGAGGTTCATCAATCACATGTACCCTCCCACCCGAGAGAATAGAATTTCACGACGAATGGTAGGGTACTTTGACGTACCCTACCCTTGTCGAGAAGACTTTGTAAACAATTTTTGACCACCCCTTCCTTTTATGTATGTGGGGATACCACCCCTATACACCCTCTTGACATTATGGACCCATGAATTTTCATTGTTCTGGTTGTTTCACAAGAAATACCCCTTTCAAAGACTAGCATGATTGGGAACATAATGGGGTCATGTCTGATGGGTAGGTACCCCCACCCCAAAATATGTCGGTGTAAACCGCCTCCTTCTTAAAAAGAGAAAAAAAAATCTAACGAGGCGCAGATGGGGCTCATAACCGATGGGATCGGACGCTGACGTCCCGGAGTCCCACTGGGCCACTGCCGGCCCGGCGGCCACGGTCCGGGACCGTTCACCGTTCGCTCCGAGCCGGGCCCGGACTCCTCAGGCTCGCCCCGCCGGGCTAGCCTTGCAGGAATGCCGCCGCGGCCGCATTACACTCGGCACGGTCTTGGGCAACTCGACCTTAGTTGTAACAAGACACCTTGTCACGGGCCGGCCCCGGGGAACTTCCGAGTTCGGAACTCCGGCGGAACTTGTGATTGATCCCATGATCGCCTGACCATGCCAGGCGGATTGACCAGGGGGGGGCGGGGTGGGGGGGGGGGGAGGGGGGGGGGGGCTGCCGCAGTGCCGCACGGTGCGGCACTCAGCTGAGCCGCGTGACCGCGGCCCCGGCGGCGGCGGCCGTGCGGCCGGCAGTGCCGGGCCGTGGCCCACCGTGCGGCCCGCCGGGAGGCTTCGGAAGTTCAGTGGAGACTCGATAGAAGGGGGTACCGCAACGTCGGTAGGCATGTAAAGGGTGGTGGGGTGGTGCAAGGGGTGTAATTTGCTTGATTCAATAAAATATGTGGATTTGGGAATAGAATATGGAGCGACTTCTATGTGAGGAGAGAGTTTTTTGTGCGAAAGTGTTTTCAATTTATAGTTTACTGCTGAAGATCCTTTGAGAAGTTGTTGGGGTTATTGTGACGCGGCGAGACCCTACGAACCTCTTGAAAGATGGCGGTGGAGGCGACTAGGGCGAGGAGGGAGGGAGGAGGAAGGGGATGCGAGGAGGAGAACGGAGCAAGATTCATCGAGTCACTGACAACAGCACAGAGAGACAGATAGGCAAACGGATGTAGCAACGTGCTGACAGCAACAAGACGAGCAAGAGGATGGGAATGGGTCATAGAGGGACACGGGGGGACGCGGGGGGCTGGCGATGAATGTGTCACATGGTTAAGAGTTGTTGACAAGAGACAATGGGTGCATATTGTATCCATGATGTCATGACAAGCACTCACAGCATGCTGAGGTTCGAAAGTATGCGAACATCGATTGGGTACAAAATGAGGAACCGTCGGTAGTGGCAGTTGAAGAAATGAGGCAGAAATGAAGGTAGAAATTGAGTACACTCAGGAGTATAGCTGCTGAGAATGTCACAAAGCAATTCCACCTCGCGTATTTCAGGGTATCTGTGATAACAATTGGATGATAAAGAAAGAAACTCCATTGATTCTGAAAATGCTTATAACGTTTGCGCGGCAGACATGTCAAAACTGGTTATCATCTGCCTGGCCGCAGCACTGCTGGTATCTCATCTTGTCCTCCAGAAGCGAGTCTTGACTCAATTGACAGGCATGCGGCGCTCATGCTTTGAACACGGAAGGCTTGGTCATGAACCTGAGAGGAGGGAAAGCGGAGGGGGTGAAATCGATGCCGTCCGTGGTCACTTGGATGCCAGCCAAGGGAGGCAAGCAGGGAGACGATGTCGAGCGCATGAGGGGAGGAGGAAAGCTTCGCCTTGAGCGAACGTTTGCCATCATCAAGCCAGATGCCGTTGCAGCTGGCAAGGCGCAGGAGATGAAGGACATCATTACTGCCTCGGGCTTCAAGATCGTCAAGGAGAAGAGGACAAGGCTGTCTGAGAAGCAGGTCCGAGCCTCCGCTGACTTCCCTCCTTCCAGTCTCCCTCCCTCTCCTTGACACGCTCACATGACTACAGGCCAAGGAGTTCTACGAGGAGCACAAGGAGAGGCCGTTTTACTCATCCTTGGTTCAGTTCATGACTGGCGGAGATTGCATCATCTTGGTGTTGCAGAAGGAGAATGCGATCAAGGGATGGAGAGAGCTGATGGGCCCAACCAACTCCTTGAAGGTGCTGCAGCAAGATCCTCGTCTTCCCTCACCTGCCTGCCTACCTCCCTCGTTCCTCCCTTCGAGCCCGTCTCTCCTGCCCTCCCTCCCTCACGTTTCTTAAAGGCAAAGACTGAGGCCAAGGATTCCTTGAGGGCCAAGTTCGGCACTGATGGCAGCAAGAACGCATGCCATGGAAGGTCTGCGATCCTGCAAGCGGGTGCCTCGTCCTAACGGACCTGCAGTGACTCTCCCAAGAGTGCCCGACGGGAGATCCGCCTCATGTTCGGCATCCTCGAGTGGATCCAGGTACTCGTCTCGTGCAGCATTATCTCATCGCTGAGCGGCCCGCCAGGTCGTCATCCCCTTCATGAAGTTCTTCTGGTGAGGGAGGAGCTACCTTTGGGCTGGTCCCCGTCAATCTTTGGACGCCTCGTCCGTTGGCTCGAAGTCGACCTGCAGGTCAGGTCACCGTGAGCTCCGAATGAAAGACGGCGTTTCTCCCTCCCCTTACCTTGCGAAAGCCGCTGTACAAGCCGAACAGCCCTGATTGTCCTTGACTCCCGCCCTTCCTCATGCAGTCGTGTGGGACGGACTTGGCGCTGACCTTGGCTGCGACCTGAGGTTCAGACCGCAAGCATGAGACCAGAGACGCGCTCACCTTGCCCCCTCGATTCCTTCACCGGCAGCTCTGACACGCCCTTGTGCTTGGCTAAGCTGACCATCTCCGCCAGCTTCTTCTGCTTCAGCGCGTGCATCACCCTCCCGTGAAACATTCTTTCTTCCTGCTCCTCCACTTCCGACTGCGAGTCAGAGGTCCTGGGAATGGAGGCGATGCGCGTGAGCCCCCTGCTCCTCCCGTCTCCTAGCGGGTGCTCCCTGTGCGTCGCAGAGCACCCACAGCCTTCGGTGCTATCGAGGATGCTGTGCTGGTGCGGCAGGTTGCAGACTTTGCGGCAACTGGGGTAGCGGCAGGGGTTGAGGCAGAGAGCTTGCTCACACATGTGAACTTCAGTCCCGTCCTCGTGCTGCAGATGATGATCTCCGCGCTTCGGACCGCACGCGCACAATTTCCTGCATCCCTGCTTCTCACATCGCTCAGCGCACTTGTCGCTTCGCCTGCATAAATTTGTGAGTTGCGAACCAGATCGAGGTGGTGGGATGGCCAGACTCACTCCTCCTCTCTCCCTCGGGTCGCCACCGGCTTGTCGTGCTTACCGCAGCAGTCATGCGGGCCTGGCAACGGTCGTCACAGTCACCAGCGTGGGTTTCCCGCTCTCACCAGCGTGCGTTGTGCAACCAGGAGGGATCATGACGGAGCAAGACTTCTTCCTCCTCGCCTTCGTCCTGCCTTCAAACATCTCCCACACACAGGGCTCCTCCTTCTCGCACAGGGCTCCGCACTGGTGCTGATTCTCGCACAAGTGCCGAGGGGTCTCGTGGAAGTGGTTTGACGACGCGCAGAAGGAGGAGCAGAGGTTGTAGGCCGAGAACATGCAGGGGTGGCGGCAGCCGTCGCTCTCGTCGCAGACGCAGGCATGCGGGAGCGAGCGATCTCGCACGCACGTCAGCATGCAGCCGAAGGCTGTGCAGACCCCCGTGCACTCGTGGAACATGTTGCACTTGTGCAGGCTGCTGATCGGTGAGGCGGGCTCGGAGGGCTCGCCGGGCTGGTGGGCATGGAAGTGATCCTCGTTATCGCACTGACGCGCACAGAACGGGACGCTGCCCTCGCGGTCAGACCCCAGCAGCCTCCCAGCAGCCGCGCGTTCACTGACCTGCAGATCTCCGAGCACCCGAGGGTGTCGGCGTTGAGGCACTTGTGAACGTCGTGCTCCTTCTCTCTCGAGAGCGAGCACGTTAGCTTGCATCCTGGGGCGCTGCACTGCTCGAGGCAGGGATGAGGCTGCCCGCACAGATGGACGCAGTCCTCCTCCTCGCTATGGAAGTGATTCGAGGAGGCGCAGATCAGCTTGCAGTCCTGCAGGCGCAACAATCGTCAGCTCCTTTACAGCACAGACCCCCGCCGACCTTGACGCTGCAGATGCTCATGCAGCCTCTCACGCTCGCTTGCTCGCAGTGGTGCTCGTGTTCGAACTCACGGTCACCGATACAGGTTGAGTCGCAGCCGGGTGAGCGGCAGCTGGCCTGGCAGGGATGCTTGTTGCCGCAGTGGTGAACCGCGTCCTCCTCCAGGTCGTGATGGTGGTTGGAGCTCGAGCACTTTTCCACACACCCCTGCACGAAACAAGGTTTGGTGCACCCCTCCTTCGACCCGCAGTAGTGCAGCTCGTGCGTCGGCTCTCCTCGCTCGGTCACGTGGATGCAAGGCTCACCGCAGATGCAGAGGAACTTACACGGGTGAGGCTTTCCGCAAGTATGAATGACCGTCGAGTCTTTGAGGCCATGGAAGTGATCCATGATGCAGCAGCGCCTCTTGCAGGAGCTCACGCTGCATGTCTCGCTGCAGCGGTTGTCCCCGCACGAGTGCACCATCTTGCTCCTGTGCATGAACCTGTTGCAGCGCTTCTGGCATCCCATCGCCCCGCATGCAGCTCCGCAACGTCTCAGCGTCTGTTCTGGCCGAACTCTTCGCTGAGGGGTCCAGAAGCCGACATGGTAGCGACACTCGAGGGACCACTTGGCGAGGAGGTGGGAGAGGTTCACGTAGTCCTTGGTCAGGATCTCACTCGTCTTGTCGTGCGCGTGCAACTTCATCTCGCTGTCTGCCGCTAGGTAGAACTCACCGCACAGCGTGCATCGCTTCACGACGCTCCTCGCCGGGTAAGACAAGGACGTCAGCGTCTTCTTGGTCAGGAGGCCGATGCATTTGAGCTTGTCTTGTATGCCGTACTGAAGTCCGATCACAATCTCTCGCTCTGGCGCCATGATCCTCATCCGCTGCAGGTCAGACTGACGAGGAATCTCATGTCAGGCACTGAAAGCACGCCTGCCTCTGACCTCACCTCCTTCTCCCCCTTCATTTGTCGGAACGTTTGTTGGTCGTTCTTCTTTCTCCACTCCTCAAAGAAGACGTACTCGCGGTCGTGGCTGGTGATGATCGACAGGGACGTGAAGGTGCTGTCGTCATGCATGCCTGCCACCCCCACCAGACTCTCATCCGCCTCGAAGATGAACGTCTCCTCTCGGATGGCTCTCAGATAGTCCGTCTCGGGGATGTGCCCGTGCTTGCCCTGCGTGAACCTCAGGAGGCACATGTGAGGTCAGGTGATGGTACCAGTCGACGATCTCCCTCTACGATCTCCCCGTCCACCACCATCTCGTAACGGAGCTGCACTCCTAGAATACAAGGCAGCAGAGGCTGCCCGATGACGGTCATCGACACTACCCGACAGCACTCGATCTGCTTCTCCGAGCGCTGCCACTCCACATTGGCATACAAGTACTCGCAATCCACGTCCGGCCCGTCCAGCTCGCTCCACTTGGGTTTTCCTACGGTGCAGTGGACGTACTTCTTCTCGTCCACGCGGGGATCGAACAAGTGTAGGGGAGAGTGCTGCTTCTCAACGCGACATCCCCACTTCCACCCCGCGTTGGCGCGTAAGTCCGGTGCTGAGTGATACAGCGAGTTCTCGAACCCGACGGCTCCGCAGCAACTCCACCAGACTCCTCCAGCCTTGGAGCGGAAGACCGAGCCCGGATGAAAGTTGCAGGTTGCCGGCGCTGATTTCAGGTCGAGGGTGTCGTAGAGGACTCCGCACTTGGAGCACAAGAACTTGGAGGTGGAGTGCTCGCTGACCTTGCAACCGGGAGCTTCGATCTTGGTGCTTCTGCAACATGACCAGATCCCAGTGTGGATGTCGGACTGAATGAGCTTGACCATCTCTTCTGACGAGACCTGCTGGTTCCTGACATCTTCCACGTCCTGTATTCCAAGTTTCTTGAAGGAATGTCGTATCGGGTAGATCCTGTCGGCGGACGTCAGCATCCTTTTCAACCTCGCCTCTTCTCGCTTCAGCGCCTCCTCGCTCCGTGAGCTCGGACGAGACGGAGCTTTGAGAGGAAGGACAGCGTCGGTCTCGTACTGGAAGCTGAGGTCGTCAAACCCTGATGGAGGATTCGACGGTGCTGCTTGATGGCCCGACAGATCAGGACTGGCTCCCTGGAGTAGCTCATCAGAGAACCATAGCACCAGGAGCACAGCAGCACACCTTGCTCACTGACTCCCTCGAGGACTTCCGGAGAGCTAGAGAGGCTGTCCTCGGACGATCAGACCGACTGCCGCAAGCATGAAGTCAGCACAAGTCGGACTCAGAGCAAGGACACGTTGGTGAGGGACTGAGGGTCAGCAAGGAGAGCCATCACCTTCTTGTCTGCTGGTCGATGTTGGTGGTCCTGAAGAGGTCGAGCTCCTCCTGCAGGCTCAGTTGACTCTTGCTCCCCCTCCTCCTCCCATGCCGCAGCATCATCGCCTGAATGGACCTAATGTCCGAAATCCAGGGAGGTTCTTTCACTCGAACTAATACCCCGCTGAACTAAACCTGAGGCCATGGGTCTTAGATGCAGGGAGGAACGACATGGGGGCGGGAGAGTCGAGGACGATGAAGGCAGGCAGGCAGACAGGCAGGCAGAGGCAGAAGCAACGAAGAGTGAGGAGAGAACAGATCGGGGTTGATGGTTGAGCTTTTATTCTCACCTGCTCATCGCATTGCTTCAGGTGACGCCTCTCCCATCTCTCGTACAAGACCAGCCAACGAAGAGTAGCAGATGTCATCACTCGCCTTGTTCTTGGTATTTCATGTCTGAATTTGGTTCTGGTGACTCTGCGAATAGATTCTATTCCCTTCTCTAGCAGCAGGATGGATGCTTCCTGCTCCGACGGAAGCAGGCAGGATGTATGAGATCAGGGCGAGGGCCATCAGTAGGCGATGCAGGAACTCCCTCCTCGCTCGCGGCACAATCCGAAACAGAGCAACGGCGCTACGCAGCACCCAAGGGGATAAGGAGCCCGCCGACCTCTACGAGGGGCTTCGCGAGAGGATCGTCAGCAAGTATCTCGACGAATTCCCGGCTTACTCTGCAGAGAACGATGCAGAACTTTTGAAGTGAGCGCTCGTGTCTCTTTGACAATTTGCCTCCTTCCCCTTCTCTCACGCTCGTTCGCTAGTACTCGTGCACTGGAAGCGATCAAGAGGGCTGAAGAGAGCTTCTCTCAAAATCTCTGTATTGCTGTGCCTTGTCGTGGTGTGATATGATATCCATGACACTGCAAACAGCTGAAGACAGCGATGATGTGAGCTCGGAGTCGAGCTCAGACGAAAGAACATTTGCATTCTTCACGAACCCAAAGACGCAGCAGGCAGCGGCGGAGTAAGTTGCTCGAGTGCTGAAGAGACACTCAAGTTTCCTTACCATGTGCCGCCAGCTACGTGTGGGACAGGGAGATCAAGCGACTGGTCAGCAAAGAGAAGTCAGCTGACGACAAAGGTATGCTCTCATTCGGATGCTAACACGAGCAGATCGACCGCTGACCCCTTGCTCAAGGGAAGCTCGTCATGACATTAGCCAACATCTTCATTTTTACTCCGATTGCATGGGGTTTCATTTCTCAAGTGAGCTACCTGCCTCGGGATGCTGGATTGTTATGAGGATGTAGGTGCCGACCCGCGAGATCAACGAGGTCTACCAGTACGTGAAAGGGGTACGGACGTGTACAACATGCATCTAAATCCTGACTGGTGCATGATCAGATACTCACGGAATTCTTCAATCAAAATCAGTTCTAGAAGGCTAAATAGAATGCTGTCATCGATCACTACCGTTCAAGCGTAGTTCCAGATCTATCGCTTTGCTCTTCGGCGTCCAGATTTGACGTGGCTTGTCCCTTGCTAGAGAGATGAAGTTGTCATAGTCATGAGACTGCAAAACCCCGGCCTCTGCACTCAGAGTCAAGGTGTGGTCCAGCTGATCCGCGGCAAGTGAAAAGGCCTCCATCAAAGCTTCTTGCCAGCGCGATGTATCATTAGATTCCTCTGTTTTCAACATGATTGTACGACTTCCTATCAAAACTTTGATCACGTTTGCACTCTTCCTGGACTTTTTGACGCATATTCCTGCATTCAGATCAATGCGATACCTACTGTTTGTTAAGTCATTGCAATCGGTATCATCATCGTAGCAGATGAGCATTCCGGGAACAATCACAAAGAAATGTCTAGTCCAAGAACCTCTCGAAATGGAGGGAAAACATGACAGTCTATTTCCTGTCCACAACCATCCCGACAGAATGATCCGAGGTTTGGGATCATCCACCTCTTGAGTAGTTTTCCCATACGTGACATCGTTGAGGCTTTCAAGCTCCTCTATCTCAGAGAAATCGTCGATCTTCCGGTGAGATGGTTTGGCCTCGCTGATTTCGGATGAAACAGCTGGACGCTCTTCATTCGAGGAGGTTTGCTCAACAAAAGCAGAGGCGAGGTTCTGTTTGACTACATGATCAACTTCAGCATCAACCATGCCTCGAGCATAAGCTGGTTCTTCAGTCAATGCATCAGATGCTTGGCAGCTACTCATGGACGAGACTGCATTTTCTTCCAAAGTTTGAAGTTTGATCTCTTGGGTTTCATCGACCTGGGAGCTTTCTGGTGACGTGGTGCTACTAGATACCTGCTCATCAAGTCATCATATCTGCATTCATTCCGTGATTCAACAGAGACGCACCTTGCCTATTCGATTCATAATTGTTTGCAGTTCTTTGCTCGGATCAAGTTTGTCTTTCATCTTCGATTCACTTGGAATGCTTGATTTGTTCTGATGAGGCAGTAGGCGATCTTGAATGCTCGGTCTACCTGCAGGGCGTTGAAGAATCCTTGGTGATTGCAAGTCTTTGAAGAATTCAAGCCTGTCCTTGAGTAATTGACTTGTGCGGGGAGAATCCTTCACATCCAGATTGTACCCAATGTCCGCATTGAGCTTCCTCGGAGTTTTCACCATGCAGGTTTCTTCCCAAAATCTCTCTGAATCTGACATTTCTTCAAAGAACTATTTGAATGTTTGCAGAGAGATCGAAAGCCTGAGGGTCGCGTTGCTCTAGAGGGAGAGAGTTGGCCCAGCTTTTTCTCCCACACCAAAAAAAAGGAAACAAGCCTTTCCTTTTGTGAAACCAGTTTTCTTAATGAAGAACTGCCACGTCCTGCCTTTCTTCGTTCCTTCTACCAATTATCCTCGCATGTTCTGTTCCTCTCCCTCATCCACCTCCTCCAAGGCTCTTCCCTTGCCCTTGCCCTTGCCTGTTCGTATTGCTGTTCCTGCTGCTGTCCCTGCTCCTCGCTCTCCTCTCCTTGTTCTAGTCTCCTCTCATTCTCCGGCTCCTCCTTCTTCTCTCGTCTCCTCTACTTTCCCCTCTGCCCTATCCTCCTTCCCGTCTCCTTTCCATGCCATCCCAGGACAAGACCGAACCAATCGACCGGGTCCTCCCGACACTACAGTAAAAGAATGACTTTTAAAACTCGGGTGCCCGACTACCCCCCATCTGTCCTTGTTCATATAGGGTGGGGTAAAGCCAGACGTAGGTCCCTTCCGTGAACGGGTGGGGGGTCATGTGTAGGTGTGTATGAGCGTCAGGCTATCTACACCGGGTACTCGAGACTGAAAGTAAGAGTCAGATGAGGGGGTGATCAGCTGGCATTTCTTGACAGATGGGGTAGGGTGGAGCAACACCTGAAAACCTAGGGTCCGCACCGTCTGTCAGCCCACGTACTACTATTATGGGGTCCCAGTCGGGGAAGGGGGTACTATCACACGGAATAAGGGGTCCAAATTTTAAAAGTGCAAAAAACTCTGAGAACCCCACCCCTGCCACACGGACCCCCCCTATAGCCTGAGGTGACTACGGACCCCTGTCAATATAGTGAGATCGGACCCCCCTATCGAGCACTTCGGGCCGCAATAGTACTTAATGAGTAAAGTTAGTGCTGATCACCGATTCCCGAGTCCGAGCCCGAGTCCGAGACCCCGACTCGTGCCGCGGCGCAGTGCCCGCCGGGCTGTCAGGTCACAAGTTCACGGCGGTAGCACTGCGTGGGCCGGGGCCCTCAGGGCCCGGCGGGGGCCCGGGCCTGAGTGCGGCCGCGCCGCCAGGCACAGTGACGGTCCAGTGCCGCTTCTCAGTACACGACGGCCGGGAGTCGAGTCCCGGCGATCGGACGGTGAGTTTCCAAAGTCGGCGTCGGTTACAGTGAGCCTCGTTTACATGCCCTTGCTCACGGAGGCGCGGCCGCTGATGATCACTGGTGATCACATCACTCAGCGGCTCCACTGTGATTGATGCCATCAGTGCCATGATGATCACAGATGATCACTCCGACACTGATAATCACATTTTCTTACTGGCCGCGCCCGCCGGTAGTACCGTCGGCCGGGCGCCGCAAGTACCTGATTAATGCACACGAAACGTCGGACAATTGAGGACTCCGATCGGACGGCCTGAGCTCCCGCCCGGTCCGATCACGCGGTGGCACGGTGTGTGTGAAACCCCGCCGGCGCCGGCCCCGGCCGGCTCCGGTCACGGTCACGGTGCCACGGTGACCGGCGGTCCGGGCCTGACTCGGACTCCCGGATTGAGGCGACTCCGGCGTCAACTCGGCCGCCAGCAGCCGCCAGGGCTCGGAGCCTCCGGCCCCGGAGAATGAGCAGAGAATGAGGGGGATGCTGCGGGGTGCGAGGGAGATGAATGGAGGCTGGTTTACAGGGGGTGGGTCTGGTTGGAAGTGGTGGCCGTTCAGGTATGATGGAGGGTAGACGGGTGGGTGGTCGTGCGAAGTGGCGTGGGTCCTGGGGGTTCGGGGGGCTGCCGGCCCTGGCCGGGGGTCCCATGGCGTCTCATGGGGGGTCCTGGCGGGGGTCATCGGGGGTCCAGTCAGGGGTGGCTGCGCGGGGCTGCGGGGCGTTAGCGATGACGCACAACAAACAGATGGCGGGGAGACGGAAAGGGAGGAGGGAGGAGGAGGAAGCGTCATAACCTCCTGATACCCTCCCTCCTCCCTCCTCCCTCCTCCCTTCCTCCCCCTCCTGTTTCTCCTCCTTTCGGGCTTCCCTCTTGTACTCCTTGGCAGCCTGCCTTCTTCCACGGTACCTGTTTTGTTTCGGCTTTCCCCATCCCTTCCCCCCTTCGCTCGTCGGGTCGCGATCCTCATCAGGCTCATCACTGTCCTTGTTGGTTATTCGTCACTCATTTTGCTTTCATCTGTTCTCGTCATTGACTCCATCCTCTCGTGCGCTCGGACTCGTAGAAGGTTGGCATGGCGTGAACTGCGAGGATGTCGGAAGTTTCCTTCCAACGACTCCTGCATGCCGTACAGGCTGTGAACAACATACATCTACAATCTTTGAACAATGATACAAGCTCTAGTTCTGCTGCTGTCTCCGTCTCATCCTTAGATCTCTGCTCGTTGGCAAGCCCGGACCCCGCAGCCTCCCAGGCCCTCCCTGTGGCTTCACATGTGCATGACAAGTCTCTTGACTGCTCCCCCTTGGACACAAGCGGAGGTCTCACTGGGTCACAAGGGTTGTTGGATGCTCAGAAGCTTGTGGAGGAATCCAAGGCTTTGCTTGTGCCTGGCGCCTTGCTTCGAGGAGATATCAACATTCCTGGGATGAGCTCCGCCGCTGCTGCGAACGGGCTCACGGAAGACGGATCGCGGGCACCCTACGAGCTCGAGGTTGTCAAGATTGAGATAGACGAACTGGGACACCAAGTGCTCGTCGGACGCCATGCCGCGTATGGAGATGAGCAGCTGTGTGAGCTCAGCGTGCAACAGGAGGGCGACCAAGTGCGACTGGAGTATGCGGATGCTGAGACGCTGTGCTCGGGGACGTTCGACTTCAGTAACCGGAAGATTGTCGGGACCGTCCGTCAGCTGCTGCAGGGAATGGACAACTTCTTTGTCACTAGCGAAGAGATCAGCCACACCTTCTGCCTCCATTTCCCCTCCGACACCCCCCAGTCCGCCAAGCTGCGAGTAGACATGAAGCGAGCCCGACAGGAGAGGATGAAAGCTCTCACGGGTTTTGTAGAGCAGTGGAAGGGAACCATCCCCTCTCGCTACAAGGACGAAATGCACCAGATGGGCCTGGTCGCCGAGGAATTTCTGACCGATGCTGTTGACTACGCAGAGGAAATTTGTGCTATGATGCGAAGGCAAGCCGCCATCCTTCAGAGACTGACTTTTGACAGCAAGAAGGAGCGAAGGAAGACTCTTGAAAGCCTTGCGGAGAAAGGTATCGCCCTGGCAGTGGCACATCGATCAGCAGATTCAGCATTCCTAGCTGTCCGAGCAGTATACGAGCTAAGCACAGCCTTGCCAGACTCCCAAATTTCGATGAATGTGCTTTGGAGCCAAATGATCAAGGTTCAGCACCGTCTGGAGTTCTCGTTCGCTCGTCTAGAGCAAGTAAGTCTTCTTCTTTGCGCTCTCATAGAGACATCTATCTTGCTAATTGGTTTGAATCTCACACTGACTGATCTTACTCTCAGGCTCTCACCAACGCGTCGATCCGAGTTACCAGGGAGACCGTTCAAACGATCTGCAAGAAGAACGTCGAGCATGCACCGGGCGAAGAAGCGTGCTGTATGATCTGCTTGGTCGAACTTGATGACAGAAGCACGGTAGCCTTTCCCAGACTTGCAATTCTCTATCTGACCCAAGTGACAGGACTTCCAGCTTCCTTGTAATCATGTGTTCCACGAAGAATGTCTCCTCAAGTGGCTTCATACACACAACACGTGCCCCAACTGCCGATGTGTACTGGAGAATGAAGAGGACGTCGATGTCAAATCCGTACAAGAGGTGTCGAGCGCCGAAAGCGTGGACGAGAGCAACCTCGACCAAGACACATTGTCATGCGCAATGAAGTGAAGTAGGGAAGGCGAAGTTCGGTCGGGGCTGTCTGTATCTTGAATTCGACATCTTCGTTCTCAGATATTTTATAAAATACCTTGAACTACCTGCCACGTCAGCATCCTTTATCGAAACCCAGCTCGCCGTGCGCCTGCCCATGTGTCAAACATGGAGGAAACTTCCCTTTAGTAGCTGCTCACCACGTGACCTGTGCACCTTGAACTTTTCCTGGCAAGGAAGCAAGGAGGGTCATATCGTGGTAAAGAAGGTCTAAAGGTTACAATCACCTTGACTTTTGACTTCTTGGCCTTCTTTGCCACTTTTTTGTCCTTCATGACGTTCAGACAGCAACAACAAATGTGCATCACAAGAGTACCATCATTTTATCTTGTTCTATCTTCTTTTGTAGCTGCAGATTTGACCGATAAAATGATTCTCTTTCCAGGAAATCGCCGCTCCTGAAAAGAAGTCACTGAAGAATAATGAAAACAAGACTGCTGGGATTCGTCGCTCACTTGCTTGTCTCATCACTTCTTGACAGTAGAGATTCCTGCATAGAGTCTTCCAAGACATTTGAGCTTGGCTCTGGTTCTTCCTTAGTTCGATCTGCAAGATAATTGAGAGAATCAGGTTTTGTACTCTTGAGTGAACTCTTCACCTGCGCGCGGTTCTTCATCATTCGGTTTGTTGTCAGCTATCTCCCTCCACAATCTCCATATCCTTGAAATTTCCTTCTTCTTCCTCAGACTTCGTGCCAAATCAAGCACCTTGGAGCGTTCATCAGAGCATGAACAAGGCGAATGAACAACAAACCTCTTCTTTTGACATTCCCACGAGGAGCTCACGTACCCTATCATCCTCACGAATTTCATCCAGCCTTGTTTGCTCATCGAGGTATTTGCCCGAGACGCTCGATTGCAAAGATTCACTATCTGAGACATCTGATTTGGATTCTGAGACGTCGGATGCGGCCTCTTCCGAATCGGATTTTCCACGAGAAGAGTATGTCTTGCTTATACGACTTTCTTTCACCTGAGGACTTCATATCAAGCACTGCCTTATCCTCAGGCATTTCGTACATCTTCGTGCAAGCCATTGCCGCTTACAGGAAGTCGTTGCAGTGTTACAGTGTAACCACGCTTCGTAGTGCCCCTCTGGAGGTAAAGCTTTACTTTTGATCCCACTGGACCGCAAATAAGTCTCCCAATCTGACACGAATCAAAAAAGCAAGCGATTGGAAAAAGTTCAAACTTACTTCTTCAAGATCTTGGTTTGAGCAGTCAACACCGTTCACCTCCTTCAGGATATCGTTGACTTTGATCTTCCCACTATTGTATGCTGCACCGCCAGGTGCAAGCATCTTCACCCGGGCGCCAACGGAGGATTCTTCCAACAGAATACCAACACCAACAGCCTGCTGATGGTAATTTGAAGATTTCCCAGCACTTTTTGGTACGCCTGCACTCTTTTCTTTCACTTTTTCGAATTGATTTGCACGAAATGGCAATTTCTCCCTGTCATCACCTTCAGAATCTGATTGCATCTCAGGTCCTATGTGAGAATCCACAGATGATCTAATTTGATCCATTCCAGATGATCGAAAGGAGACTTGGCGATAAGATACGTCCTGCACCGAAAAGTGTTCCGTCACTTGGAATACACAATACTCCGGGTAACAAACCCTTACCTCAGCAGATCGTGTTCTTGCAACTTTGTCTTTTCTCGTTGGACGTTCGCTCGGTGCATAGAAGTCCCCAGGTGATATGGGCGTTGTTACCGATCGGTGTCTACGAATTGTTTAGGCATCATGAACCTATGCTCAGTTAAGTTTACATGTGACGTCGGTTCGTTCCTCCGGCTACATCCCTCCTGCTGTCGCTCCTGCTGTCCCTGCCGCCTCCTGCGCTCCCTCCCCCCCCCTCCTCCTCGCTATCGCTGTCGCGTGATGATGACATACTCTCTGCACTTTGGGATGGCTTTCCAGGCGTGTGCATGCCCTTCGGAGCCCCAAGCCTTGCGTATCTCGCCTCCCGTGCAGTGCTGCTGCTGTCGCTGTCGCTGCCGCCTCCTGCGCTCCCTCCTCCCCCCTCCTCCTCGCTATCGCTGTCGCGTGATGATGACATACTCTCTGCACTTTGGGATGGCTTTCCAGGCGTGTGCATGCCCTTCGGAGCCCCAAGCCTTGCGTATCTCGCCTCCCGTGCAGTGCTGCTGCTGTCGCTGTCCCTGCCGCCTCCTGCGCTCCCTCCTCCCCCCTCCTCCTCGCTATCGCTGTCGCGTGATGATGACATACTCTCTGCACTTTGGGATGGCTTTCCAGGCGTGTGCATGCCCTTCGGAGCCCCAAGCCGTGCGTATTTTTCAGCCATGGAAAGTTCTTTCTCATCATGTCGACGTTTGGAGATGAGTTTGACCCTTTTCCCTGAAGAACTCTTGAGCTGTTGGTGTACGTCACGCCTTGCCTGATCGTCAGACTTGTTCGAGCTCTTTTTCTTCTTGATTTTCGTGGTTCGCAACGATGTTCCAGCTTTCCCACCACGGAGAGTCAAAGATGCTCTGATCATGCGAAACAGCATGGATGGCGGGGTTTGACAGGCGCATAATTCTTGGTTTCTGTTTACCATGCACGAGTGCTGAGAGGCACTTGCTATGATAATGAAGAGCAGCACAGTCCATTTCCGCATGAAACTCTTTGAAATTCTCTTTCTCTACCTTTTCAAGTCAACAGATCGTCATGGCCGCCCATGTAGAAAAGCTGAGGATGGCGAATATTTCAACCTGTGGGGGATGAGGAAGTCAGACAATGATGATAGTGTAACTGCCGCGTTATGATCAGCAGCTATTCCTTCTAGGACACAAACTCCTTTCACATTGCCTTGCTTACATTGCCATGCCTCAGGTCGCCACTGTCTAGACACCCAGAGGATCATCACCTGCTTGGCTCCTCTTCCTCTCTCCTGCAACATCATCGCCATCGTCTCACTCTGCTGTCGTCTCACACGCACGTCCTCGCCGCCTTCCCCTCACTCCCCTCCCCCCCCTCCCTTGGCCCCGCTCTTTTCGCGCCATTTCCGCCCGGGCCCGCCGGCCCGGGCCCGGGCCTCTCCCACCGCGGCACTGGCATTCAGCTGTTCGGACTTATTTGACTATAAGACCTTTCATTTGACTACAAACCAACCTGGCCATTCGAGTCAAACGTTGTCAATAGGCTTTCACTTTCAGGGCGATTCTTCTTTATTTGAAATGTCTCGATCTAATTTGATATTTTAGTCTTAGACGGGCGCAGCCTTTTCCAAATTTATATTCCATTTATTGTTTTCCCCAAGGAACCAAGCTGCTGATCGTCGCTCCAACCTCTTTCAGTCTTCTTGGTCCTCGTCTTCTTCTTCTCTTCATCCTTACTCTCTCTTCCTGTCTCTCACAGGCTCTCACTCTTTCCCGCTCCAGCTATACCTGGGACGCGATCTCTCTAATTTTTTCCGATCTCGAACACTCTTATGTCCTTGCTGCGTCAACTGGTATTTTCAGCTTTCAACATTTTCGTTCTATAGACTCAGATTCTTGAAATCCAATTTTCTTTCATGTCCAAGATGTTGAGGTTATCCCAATCCATCTTACCCCTACTTGTTATCCTCAAGCTTGATTATGTTGGATCGACGTCGTACTGGACCTCCAAGGACGTTTCTTCTGGTCCTGCCGAAGGAGGAGACTTAATAAGAGTACAGGGATCAGGGTTTGCTCTCATCCCTGAGCGAGAGATTTATTGTCGCTTCACTATCTCAAATGTACAGGAGCAGTCGCTTGCAGATTTCGTTGACAACTCAACTGTTGTTTGTAAAACACCTCTTTGGCAGCATGCTGCCGCAAATGCCTCTTTCTCCCTCTTTTCTCAATCAAATTATCCTATTCTTTACACGGGCATTGGTCATGATTGGTTTTTGTACTTTGCAAATCTTCAAGGTTTGTCTCAGGTCAGTTCGGGTCCAGCAAGTGGCGGTTACAACCTTACGGTTTATGGATTCGGCCTCGATGTGAATGATGCTGGGAATTATCATTGCTTGTTTGAAGCTGGTGGAAGTCAAATGTCCACTTCTGTCGTAATTTCAAACAGCTCAACGGCGTTCTGCGTAGCGCCAGCATGGGGTTTGGATCACTATGGTACAAAAGCCGTCGGAGAATCGCCCATGAACTTAGTTTCAGCGGTGAACGTTTCTGTGATACATCTTAACACAAGTCTGCCGTGCGGGAGATCTCCTTGTCACTTATCATTCTCCTTCTACTCTCTATGGAAAGGATTAACGATCCCTGGCATCAACACAGCGTTGGTAGCTTCACTTGTTGGTGGCCAAGAAATCATAGTTGAGGGTTGGGGGTTCTCAAAGACTGCGAGGTACAGGTGTGAGTTCGTTGATGGGTCAGAAAGGCAATGCTCGGCTGCGGTGTTCGCTACCTCCCCGAAGGACGTAAGGTGTCTAACACCCTCCTGGACGCATGGAGACTTCTCTGCACATGTTTTCCTTAGGACTGTGAATGAGTCATATCCAGATGATTGTCAGCCGGGGAATATTTCTTTCCTGCTGTCAGTGTAAAACTGCAGATCATAGCGGGTGTCACGAACATCAGTGCAATTTCATCGCCTGCTTCGGGGGGAAAAGAAATCTTGATTCGGGGTGTAGGTTTCAATGCAAACTCGACGTACACCTGTAATTTTGAAGACTTCATCGTGAATGCAAGCTTTGTCGATGAAATGCTGCTGCGTTGCATATCTCCACCCTGGTACAGAGAGTCGCGCTCCCTCACTCTCAATGTCTTCACAGAGAGCGGCAACGCCTTGCTGGGCTGTAGCAACTGCTTGTTCACTTTCTACGAGACAGTAGCAGATGTTATCAGTATGAGTAACCGCTCAGAGGGGCCTGCAACTGGAGGTGGAAACCTGACTGTAAACGGTTATGGGTTCCACTTGCACGATCGCCAGTATACTTGTGTCTTTTCTTCGGATCTGTGGGAGGATTCTTTGAATTCACAAGCAAATGTCATCTCTCACATGCAATTGTCATGTTCGTTGCCCTCCTTGTATGGAAAGTATTCTGCTGGAATTGTGCGAATCTCTCTTCAAAGTAGCAATGGAACTGTTGCCTTTCAACCTGGCATTCATGTCCCATCAGAATATATCTCTTTATGTATCGTGGATTCCTGTACCTTTCGTTATTTAGCTTTGTGGCATTCTCTGGAACCAAGGCAGCTCTGCGCAACCGGAAATGAACTGATTTCCATTCACGGGTTGGGTTTCGTCTCAAATAATATAACTTACATGATTCAATCACAAAACGCTTCACAATTAACATCGGAAAACTGTAATGTTGTAAATGCTACTCTACTTCTCTGTAAAATTCCTGCACTTGCTAGTACATACAGCAACTTATCGTTGCAGGTATTTCAAGGCTCAGAAAGTCTTGATGGCTCATTTTTGGACAAAATTGATGTGATTCCTTGCTGGTATTCTTTTAATGTTTCACATGGACCATCTATAGGAGGGGTTTCAATTGAAATTCTTGGGGCAGGCTTCATGGACCTTTATGATCTTTCTGGAAAGATGTTTTCTACCACAACGGAGGTCAATATGACAATATATGTTCTAAATCCCTTTCGATTGTTCTTCATCACTCCAAGTTGGCCTGGCGTTGAAGAAAATGCTGTAGTGAACATTAGGAATTCACTGTTGGACGAGATTCAATATGATGGCCCTCTCGGACAAGACGTTTTTCAATTTCAACGCTGTTGGTTGACAGTCCAACCAAGTTCTGTTCCGGCTTCAGGTGGCACCACAATTACTCTCGCAACATTTGCTATGAATCCTTTTGTTAATCTGTCTTGTTCCTTTGCTGTGAACTCAACTCGAATGTATTCTGTGGCACGCCGAATTTCCTCTGATTCAGTCGAGTGTGAGGTCCCTGAATGGGGAGCAAAATACACAGCTTCTGAGGTGGTGCTGACCTTGTTAGATTCATCGAATACGACTATTCTGTTTTCTGAGGTCCTGGACTCGTCTTCGTCGAAAGCGTTGAACATTTATCAGATTTTCAATGGATCTCAGACAGCCCCAAAATCTTTTCACGTGACAGGTGAGGAGACCATTCGAGTGTATGGTTATGGGTTCGGAAAGGGAGATCGGTATATTTGTAGGTTCATATTGCAGTCAATGTTTGAGGTCTGGTCGGAAGAAAGCCTTGCACTTAGCACGACCGAGCTTGTTTTCAAGACAAAGTTTTGGAATCATTCTGCAGTCACGAATGCGTTGATTCAGGTCTTTTGTCAATCATGCGGCAGCAGTGCACCTCAACCGATAGCTGATTCTAACCAACAAGTTATCGCGTTTCATGAAATCGTGACCAGCATCTCGCCTACCAAAGGTTCAGCTCGGGGAAGTGAGGTGATAACTGTCCACGGCAGCGGATTTTCAATGGAGTTTTCGTATGTTTGCAAGTTCGGATCACTTTCGGTGAAGGCGACTGTCATGAGCTTAAATGAGCTGATATGCTTGAGTCCAACACTGCGTTATGAGGAGGAGGGAATCTTTCCATTCATAGTCCAACGGAACGATTCTTTGAAGATAGACCGATTCGTCTTTGTAAATTTCACTGACGGCAACATGCATTATGAGGTCGGACCTGATTTGACTTTCAAGTATTTCAGCGAATGGCTGACCTTCAACCCTTCCTTTGCCGACAGACTCGGTTACATCCCTGTCCCAGAATGTCCCAAAGTGTACTTGCACGGCTTTGGATTCCAACAAGGAATGAAGTATCAGTGCATCATATCGATGGGAACTCGGATTGCGACTGCTAGGGCGAACTTTGTGAACACGACGATAATCGAGATGATCCCGCCGGAGTGGGACCTGGTGACTGATTCGCATCGATATGTAACCAACAAAACAAATTTGACCTTGAGGAAGGCTTCCATCTCTTCAGAAGCCGCGTTTTGGTCGGATGTGTATGGTGGGAACGGCTCAACGTTGCCAAACCGCACGGCTCTGTGGATTGTGCAAATAAACAAACGGCCAGCTTACGATCTTGTGCAACGGAACTTGACGACTATAGTTGCAATAGAGAGCCAGGACATGATTAGGATCGAGTTTGCAACCAACTTGAGGAGCGGGGTCGACGGCAATCAGGAGCAGGTTCAGACTGAGAGAGACCAGAAGGTCACTTTCGAGGTCGCTAAAGGCTATTCTCGAATGTTTGAAGTTACTCCAAAGATAGACACCAACGGAATCCTGTCGTTCAAGGTCTGGCCTTATTCCTTTGGTAATACACGGATCTGTGTCGTTCTGCGGGACGATGGAGGCAAGCTTTTCGGAGGGATCGACGCTACAGAACCGAGGTGTTTTGATCTTATCGTAAACCCCAAATACCTGGGAGATTTCTTTTCCTTCGCCCAGCCTTCGTTGGAGATCTTGGAAAACTCTGGGATACAAGTGTTGGATCGATTCTTGATCAAGAGTCCCATGGGCCTCTACAAAGATATTCTTCTCAACTTCTCTGCTGCAGGAGACAGTGACTTCTTCGAGACTGGACCTTTCGTCTCTGAGTTTGGAAGGTTGACGTTCAAGTGCTATCCTTATGTCTACGGCACCACCACCATCTCTGTGTACCTCTCTTACTACAACTCTTCGGACGCACAAACGTACACGCACCACCAGGATCTGGTGTTGAATGTGACTGCGGTCAACAACCAGCCGTCATTCACACTGAACGAGTCCAGGGCTCATATAGAAATTATCGAGAACGAATGCATTGCTGAACAATGCAGTTTTTCCGATCTAATCGTGTCGAAGTATTCGGGTCTGCATGATCTTAAAACAACCAGCCAAATGTTTGACTGGGACGAAAGCGATCAGAAAATGACGTTCCAGTTCGATCATGTGTTGGACACTGTCTTCGAGAGTATTCCTGTGATGAGCATCGATGGAAAACTTTCTTTCAAGCTCCTTCCAAACGTTTTTGGCAACTTTACGTTGTCGTTGACCCTCAAAGATGATGGTGGTACGGATCATGGAGGCGTTGACACCTCGGACCCTCAACAGATCACGATCTCCATCAAACCAAGGAACAATCAGCCGACTTTCAAGTTAAATTGCCCGGTCGAACAATGGACTCTGAATTGCTCAAAGGATTGCTCGAGCAACATATCACGTGGATGCTCTTCAAGAATCAAAATATCAGAGAATTGCATTGATTGCGAGCCAGGTCATCGCATAGTAGACGGATGCTCCAGGCATTATTTCATCCAAAGCTTTGCAGTAGATGTGTTTGCCTCAGCACAAAACCTGAAGAACGAGAAGGACCAACTTCTGTCCTTCCTCTTCGATCCCTTCACACCCAGACCTGGAACACCATCGTCCATGCTGACCTGAACTCCAGTGGGTACCTCTCATTATGCCTCAATTACCGAAAGCATGGTACCGTGACATTCCAAGTGTCCCTTCAAGACAACGGGGGAACCGCAAATGGCGGGGTAGACACGATCGGCCCCATCTTCCTGACTATCCGTGTAGAGCCTGTCAACCAGCCCCCCAGCTTCAAGGTGGCTGCCCTGGCTGACTTCGGGGCCAACGTCCTACACCTGTGGACATCGAGCGGGCAGTCGACGGTAGAGGGCTTTCTCGTAGATATCCTCAACGGACATGCCGACTCGAGCGGCAGTGACCTGGAGGCCGTACAGTCTCACACATTCTACATAGAGACAGACCTGGCCTACTTCGTTCAAGGGCCGAAGATAGACGCCAACGGGACGCTGACGTTAGAGGTGAAGGCGGGGATGAGCGGGGAGGTCAACATGAGCATCACGATGGCGGACGACGGGCGGACGGACGACGGGACGGTGAACCCCGAGGACCCGGGGTGGAGGGGCCTCAACGTGACACAGATCTGCAAGGTGGTGATATCAGACGGGTACCTGAAGCTGTCAGGGGCGGAGATGCCGGGGATGTACAACTGGAGCGAGCGGATGGGAGACGCGATGAACCTGTCTCGCTTCCTGGGAGTAGGCCGGGAGTACGTGAGGGACGGGGGGAGTGAGTACGAGGTGACCGTAGGTAGCGTGACGGGGCTGGTAGAGGCGTACAGGCGGGCGTATGACGCGATCGAGGGGAGGAGGTACGTGCTGCCGTCAGGGCGGGGCATCGAGAACGTGACGCTGCGGCGACGCAACTACGGGCAGTCAGCGTCGCTGAAGGTGGCGGAGGCGGGGATCACGGTGGTAGGGCTGGAGTACGACGCGAGGCATCCGCTGGTGAGGGAGGGGTTCTTCTACGACATTATGGAGCCGGAGAACACGACGATGGACCTGGACGGGAACTCGGTGATCTCGTTGAGGGTAGAGGCGGTAAGGTACAAGCGATATCCAGAGGAGACGAGCTGGAGGGAGAATGAGGGAGACGGGGGGCTATTTGTGGAGGACAAGAACGTGAGTCGAGTAAGCACGAACTGCCATCCAATCTGTCGGAACGCGACGCTACGGCTGGTCCAGAATCCCCTGGGTTTGAATGGGGTGGTAGAGTTCGACATTCTGTTGGAAGATGCAAAGAACGGAAGTTTTACGGTGGAGGTGGTCTTAGTACTTAAAACTCCTGCTGTAGTGCAGATGGTAGAAGACGATGAAGAATTCTTTCTGCAGTCATTCATCAACATGAGCTTCATCGGCAATATGACAGATTTGACAGACTTTGCCCCCTTGACATTCCAGACCAATTTTACAAATAGGAGTGCTCAATACGGTTCGAACAGTTTCAGGATCGAATATACGTTTCTCAATCTTTCCTCTTCGTACTCTGTCGTAATTTCGCCGCTGCCCAACCTCTTTGGACTTTTCTACATGCAGACCTGTGTGTCCCGCACAGAAGCTCCTCTTAAGTCCATCTGCTTTGAATGGGAGCTGAACGTGATCGGCGTGAACGATCCTCCAGAGTTCAACCTCACCAAACGCTTCATGTCCAACGAGGACGAGTTTTGTGTGAATCAGTATAATTCTTCAGGACTATTGGACATCCCAGTCTCTCCAGGAAATTCTTGGGAACAGAGCCAGCAGATGACGTTTGTCTTCTCATTTCTTTACGGCGATAGCAACATCTTCGAAGTTCCTCCTGCCATACGCATCGACATGGACAAGGCTGTCCTCACGTACAAGACCCGCTGCTCTGGGCGAGGGCTTGCGATCTACTCGGTGATACTAGTTGACAACGGAGGTTGGAGCAATGGAGGGAAGAACTCTACCTTGCCTCGGAACATCTCCTTCTATGTCCAGCCCAGAAACCGTCCTCCGACCTTCATGTTCGGAGCGTCAGTGGTGACGCACGGACAAGTTAGTTTCTTGGACCTGCTGGAAGATGAGCCAAGGACTCAGCTCGTCAACTTCACTCGCAACATCGCGAGGGGTCTGCCTGAAGACAAACTGGAGAAGACTCAGTCCGTGAGCTTTCAAGTGCTCTTCCTCAACGGCAGCGAATGGATCTTTGGGCAAAACAACTTCCCAGCCATCTCGAGCAACGGCTCCCTGTTCTTCAGGGTATCGAGCAATCGATACGGTTACGTCTACGTGAACGTGAGGATCCTCGATGATGGCGGTGAAGCTCGCGGCGGCATCAACCGCTCAGACTGGAAACTCCTCAAGATCTCAGTACTGCCAGTGAACGATCGACCGACTTTCACGTTAGTCCTCAATCGCGTCCGGGTGAATGAGGCGGTAGACAGCAACACTTCTTCTGTTGTGCTCTCTTCCTTTGCCTTCGACATCAGCCCCGGGCCCTACGAGCGGGACCAGCACGTCACTTTCCGTGTAGCAGCCGTCGCCTCTCGAGTCCCTTCCAGAGAGCCATATCCGTGGAGCTCAATGGTGGGAAATCTCTTCGGACAAGTGAAGCTAGCTGACGGCCAGCTGTTTGTGAGCGGAAGCAACATTTTGATCTCTAACTCGGGGACTCTTTCCTTGCAGCTCCTCCAGTATCGAAACGGGGAAGCGAATTTCTCGTGTTATCTCAGTGACGACGGAGGCGTTGTCAACAACGGGTTCAATCGAAGTCTGCCTCAGTCTCTTTCCCTCGTCGTTGATCCAGTCAATCAGCCACCGTCGTTCACCTTGACCTCACATGTGCTCGAGCTGCAGGAAGGCTCTCAAGAGTTCTACAGAAACTTCGCAAAGAATATCAGCGCTGGGATGTGGGACGAGAACATTCAGAGCTTGACGTTTGTCATCAATACAATCTTCGGCCCTCGACAACTCTTCCAATCCTTCACGATCGACTGCCAGGACTCTGCGACTTGTCCCAGCTCGACCGCCAATCTGAGCATACTGGTCCTCCCCTATCACTTCGGGAACGTCACTCTCAACGTCTCACTCCAAGATCCGTTCAATGCAATCCAGAGCGCCACGTTGGTTGTCAATGTCCTGCCGGTGAACCAGCCTCCCTCCTTCCGAATCCGCACAAGCATGCTCATAGTGGATGAGGGAAGCTCTTGTATCTCCGACTCCAGCGCCCTCTCAGACGAGTGGATCGACTTCATCATGCAGCCTTCTCAATCTGATTGCCGCACAGCACCAGATTTCCTCCACTTGCACTCTGGGCTGATATTCTACGACATGGGACCCTTAGAGGGAGGTTATGAATTCGTCTGCCCGCCAGAAACAGCTTGCGAGGAACAGATCCCTGTGTTCAACGTCACCTGCATGGATGTCTCCCCTCCTCTCTTCTCTGAGCAGCCTTCCGTCGACTCCAACGGCACCCTCAGGTTCTCTCTGGTCCCGATCGCCAGCGGCAACGTATCCTGCATGATTCAGATGCGGGACTCCAACATCCTGATCGGACAGCCTATCTTCGCTGAGGCCCAGGAGCTGCAGATCTTTGTGACTCCGGTTAACAACAGGCCCCACTTTGAGCTGATAGTGCACAACGTCACGGTGTTGGAAGACTCTCCGAAGTTTGACTTGAGAGTTGCCGACAACATTTTTGCTGATGGACAAAGCGGGCTGACTGAGACCAATCAGAAGATCTCGTTCATCGTTTCCGTCGTTTCTCACCCCGAAATCTTCTCTCCCAACGGCCTGCCGAGTGTGGATGCGGGAGGAAATCTGACGTTTGGCTTGGCGGCCAATCAGTTCGGGACGAGCAACCTTAGCATCACAGTGGTTGATGACGGCGGTGGGCACAACGGCTTGCAAGGCAACACAAAGTACCTTGAAGTCAACGTTTTGCCTGTTAACAACCCTCCAACTTTTCAAGTAGTGGAGAACGTCTCTGTGGATGAGAACTCAGGCTTTCAGCTGTTTTCAGTAGTTTCCAGCATCACTCCTGGACCTGCCAACGAACATTGCCTCCACCCTTCGACCTGGTGTCAGAATCAGAGTTTGACCTTCTTTGTCAGAGACGTTATGGGCATCTCAAACCTCTTTTTGGATCCTCCTACCATCGATCTCCAAGGCAGGCTGTCGCTGAACCTCACCACGTTCGAAAGTGGACCCGCCAAGATTCTCTTCAATGCTGTAGATGACGGTGGTACGGTCCCAGGGGCAGGGGAGAATCGTTCAAACACCGGCATCATCGATGTCTCGGTGCTGCCCATCAATCAGCCTCCTGCGTTCAGCTGCGGGCTGATAGGGAGCCAAGGGGAAGGGTCCAACAATTCTCAGGCAGTGATCTACTCTAGGAAGAACCAGGGAGTGGTCCTCCTCTCAAGCTTCATCCAGGATATCACCACAGCCCGCGGCTTCCCTGGCAGGGCTGCGGTGGAGCATGCCAGGGGTTCTAGCCAGCTCAGTTTCGTAGGCCCGAATTTCACGTCATGGTTCTCAGTGAGGGGGCTGGAGTACTCGTCAGACTTTGTGATCAGCCCGGATAAGAGGCACTTGTACTCTATCGAGACTGAGAGAGACTCGCTCATCATCCTCAACATCTCTCAGCCCCATGGCCAGACGTTCCTCGATCGCCTCTCTAACAACCAGAACCGCCTCCGCTTCACCAGGTTGTCCTCCAACACGTCGAATCCTGTGAACATCCAGGGCAACGTCGCCGTCTGCGGCATCAACGGTTTCTCCAACTCGTCCGAGACATTCTTCGTGTCGAGCACCGGCTGCGATCCTTACTTTGACGTGTACCGCGATATCATGCAGCCAGCCTCCTCCTCTTGCAGTCCTGCCTGCCAGGACGAGACATCCAGGACAACCGTCGGGCTGTGGAACCTCAACTACGAGGCGATGAAGGGGAGGATGAACTCCAACTCTTTGGGAGCTGGGCTCAAGCTGGACTGCTCCGATCCCCTCTATTGTCAGTTCGAGAGGCCCGTGAACTCCGAGCTCTGCAACGAGAAGTACAAGAGTCATATCCAACCCGCCGGCATCCGCGACCAGACGAGCTTCCTGGGGGCTGCGGTGCTCCTCGGACCGCTCTGCAAGGAGGGCTTCTCCGGTGACTGGGACCGAGCAGACTTCGCACTGTCGCTCAAGAACTTTCTGGTCAACGACGGGAGGGAGGAGGGTCTACAGTTTGATGGAAAGCTGAACCCTGGGCTGGTGGTCTCGAAAGACATCGACCAGCTCGTGGACGGAGTCCCGTCGAGCTCGAAACTTCCGCTAGAGGAGATAAGCATGGAGGTCTGGTTCATCCTAGCGCAGAAAGACATCAACCTTGGAGGCCTTATGAGTATCCAACAGCTCAGCCCCCTCTGCGCCAAGGGCTGGAGTTTGACCTACTCGACAAAGGTGACAGGAGGCCAGTCGGAGACCCAGCTAGTCTTCTCCATCTCGCTGGAGGCGAACCTGGGCTCGGGTCAAGGAGGCATGATCAGCGTTGACTATGCTGTTCAGGGGGAAGGTGTGTTCGTGGATTGGACGCAGGTCGTGGCATCATACAACAGGTCTCACATCCTGCTGCACGTCAACGGGCAGCTGGCTGCCTTGAAGGCAGCATGCAACCAGGAAGACTGCGGCAACATCGTCTACCCAGCGTCGTACAGCACCGGGGGGAGGTGCAAGGCAGGGGCCACCATGTTCTCGATAGGAGCGTATCACAACGGCCGGACAGAAGAGACCTTCACCCATGTGGGAGCGATCAAGCGCGTCCGTGTCACCAATCACTCGCTGTCGACCAGCACAATCTCCCAGCTCTATCAGGATGCCTCTACCCCTGCGAGCCTGCGGCGGACAGCCATGTACAGCTCTGACTACTGGGTGCAGCTCAAGAATTCGTCGGGGATTTACTCGCCAACTTCGACATCCGCCATGGTCGACGAGCATCTGTCGCTGCAACTCTTCGGTCGCTTCGACTCTACGGGCATCTACCGCCTCGAGTTCGAGGCCACGGCTGCCAACATGAGCTCCGACAACTGCTCGCTGGGAGGCTCGGAGGCTGACGGCTTCTACCAGACCCTCATCTGCTTCACTCCCTACTGGACCCTCGGGTACCGCTGGACCAACGTGTCGGTGAGCAAGAAGGTAGGGGGGGGGTGGTACCGACTGTGGCAGAAAGTCTGCATCTCGAGCTTGTGCGGGTACTTGCCCATCACTGCAAGGCCAACAAGTTGGTGGACAGACTCGCAGCGTCTGTTGCTCCCCGGGATGACCGGAGCCATGACTGACTTTCTCTTCTACACTCGATCCCTAGTGTTTCTCCTCGAGAGCAGCAGTAAGAACCTTGTTTCCGCTCAATTCTGCGCATCTCCGATCGTCAACGCCAGCGCAGGAGCATGCGACGGTCTGGATCAGCTTCCGACTGACAGAGTGAAAGGGTCAGCTTCCTCCATCACCTTCTCTCGCAATGGCAATGCGTTCCTGGCCGTCGCCAACTTCTGGGATGGTCGGGAATTCCGAGTGACAAGCCCCATCTTTCAGCTGGACGTGGCCAGCAGGCAGCTGCTCCCTCTGCAGGACGTCCAGACGGATGGCGCCAGGCAGTGGCTGCACTTGGAGCTGAATGGAACGGATTTCTTGATGGTGGCCAACTTCAACAGCGAGTCAGCGGTTTATCCATTCCAGGCCGATAGCGATCTCCTCGACGAGGCTTCCATGGTCTCCATCCCCACGAAGCATGCTGCTGCCATGACTCAGTTCGAGAGATCGGGACGTTTGTTCGTCGCCTTTGCGTCCTTCACCTTCGATGAGATGACTTCGTCGGACGTCTACATGCTCTCGTCTCCTGTTGGAACCTCAGACGTCTTCTTCACGCTGATCAGCCAAGTCAACATCACAAGAGCAGTGGACGTGAAGTACTTCCAAGACAACAACGAATTATACCTTATCTATGCGTCATTGGATGCTGGTGCTTCTGCTGTCTATCGGTTGGACTTCTCCTCTCCTACTGACTTACAACTCGTTAAGGTTCAAGCTTTGCTGACTGCAGGTGTCACATCCATAACAACATTCTACGACCCCAACGTCTACTGCACCCTGGCCAAGACCGATGGAGTCTTGAGTGTGCTTCGATGGAACGGGACCAGGTTCCTCGGGGTGGTGAATGAGAATACTCTCCCAGACGACGCTGCTGGGGGTCAAGACATCTCCGCTGCTAACGTCTTCGCGTCTACCGTCGTGACTGCCCCGACGGGGCTCTACCTTTCCTGGATGGGAGGGCACGGCCTGAGCTACCCGCTGCCCCTGGAGGTCTACGAGGGGTCACTAGAGCCGATCCGAGAGATGACTAGGCCCCTGCTAGTGGAGATGTCCCCCGACGGTGACTTCCTCTACGTCGCTACTGAGACATCGCGAGCCATCCTGGCGTTCAGGAGGGACCAGCAGTCTGGCTACCTCCATCGCCATGAGGCAGGAGACTTCTTCAGCGAGTGGACGAAGAATCAGAGCATCCCGCGCCTCTTAGTCTCCTCTGTTGCCCTCGGCTTCCCTCTACGGGGCCTCAGCTCTATGATAGTTGATACAGACATGCTGTACGCGGCAAGTTTCCTTGACTCCTCCATCGCCATTTTCTCCAGGAACCCTGTCAACGGCTCCCTTGCACTGCTCGATGTGATCTTAGCGTCCTCGGCTCGAACTGGTCTCACAGGCCTCAAGGCGATCTTTCTCAGCGGGTCGTTGCTGTACGCGGCCGGGATCAAGGATCAGGCCCTGTCGGTGTGGAGGAAGACAACCGAAGGCTCCCTGGCGTACGTCGATCACATCAGGAACGGCGAACGGATCCCGAGCACGTACCATGGAAACGTTCCGAGCCCCGATGAACTGCAAATCTACAACTTCGTTTCCGACAGCCTATCGAACTTGACGTTCACAGGGCCACGGGATGCCGCCAACTTCGCCTTCGACGGTCGCACATTCCTCGCGCTTGCCTATGCTCCCTTTGAGACTGAATCTTCAGCCACTGACAAGTTCGCCGGGGTTGTGATCCTTGCCTACGCCGACTCCTCCATCCCCAAGTTCGACCTTGTCCAGCTGCTTCAGAGCTCGCAAGTGAATCCCGGCTGCCTCGCTTTCTTTGAGACTCAGCAGGGTTCCTCCTTCTCACGCTTCCTCGTCGTGGGCAACATGTTCTCCAACATCCCTGGAAGGAGCGCAAGTGGCGTCGAAGTCTTCAAGTGGGACCAGGGACAGTTCAGCAGTGTTGGTGCCGTTGAGGACGAGACCAAGTACTACCCGAGCAGCTTGAAGGTCTTCCAGCAAGGGGACACGACCTTCCTGGCCGTGTCAGTGCTATGGGATGGAGACTCGTACCAGATTCCTTCTCGTCTCTACCGGTGGAATCCTTCAGCTGAAAAGTTCGAGCTGGTACAGCTGTTCCCCTTGTCCAACGCTCTCGACGTAGAAGTTGCGGCTAGCAACAACGAACTTCACATCATCTTCACTGCAGCGGAATGCAGCAACAGGCTGTCCTGCCTCCAGTTCTACTCCCAGCCTTCTTCTGCTGCTCCCTTCCAGCGGACACAGCAGGTTCTCCTCGACGGGGCTGTCGACAGCACCACCTTGGAGATCGACGGCGAGCTCTTCGTCGCCATCGCCTGTCGTGAGTTTTTATCTCGGCCGAGCGAGTCTCCGCTCGGCAAGTACGACGGGTCCTCGTATGTCTACAAGTATCACAGAGACGTCAAGACCTTTGAGCGCTATCAGACGATCAGCGGTCAGGACTTCCCGTGCATCTTCGAGAGCGGGATGGAGGCAGTATGGCAGAATTACTTCTGCAGCGACCAGTGCTCATTCAGGGAGGGCTGGAGCTCCGACGTCCTCGAGCAGTTCCGAGGAGCTACGTCAGTCACTTCCTTCCGATCGCAAGGAGAGTTGTACCTCGTTATGGCACAGTCCGTGTGTGAGCTCAACGCCGACTGCTCCTCCATCCAGCCGCAGTCTACCGTCCTGCAGTGGAACAAGCACGACAAGAAGTTTGGAGAGCTGCTTTCCCTCACCGACTTCGAGAGCATCCGCCTCAAGGGCTATCCTGTCGCTCCCCAGGACCTCACGCACCACCAGTTCCCCCTCCGGCTTGACATCGGCCGAGCCCTGCGCGTCAAGTACGTGGAGTTTGCAGACGAACCTTACCTCTTGGCTCTCAGTCTCAGTAAGGGAACTCTCCTTACGCACTTCAAGTTCGATCAGATCTCGGGCCTCCAGAGCCCCTCCCTCATCTCCTCCCTCCCTGACGATCCCTTCCTCTACGTCGTCAACGAGCCGTACGGCCAAGTCTCGTCCTTCAGCAAGTGGGGCTATCCCGAGAGCTCCTCCTACGACTTCAGCCACTGCCCGAGCTCGACCCGTCCTGCTTGCCTTGCGTTCGTCAATTCGACTACCGTCAACATGAACGCTCAGATATCAAAGTTTCCTCAGCAGATCTCCGGCACGAAGCGAGTGTTCCTCGAGCGAGGCAGCTGCCTCTCCTCTACCAGCCAGTGCACCTTCATCAACTTTCACGCTGCTAACAAGAGGAACGAGCTTCGTTGCGGGGCCCAGCCTATCTACCCCTCAGATGCCGTCGTCAACCCGAGAGACAGGGCTGCCTGTCAGTCTGTCGACTTCCACATCGTCAAGGAACAGACTGCAGGCACGTCAGACTCGCTCAAGTTCGTTCCCGTAGTCTACGGCAACGGCAGCCTGCTTTTCGAAACTTCCTTCGGTCGTTTTGGATCCAACAGCTACAAGATCTTACTGAGAGACAGTGACAACTCCTCCTCCTCTGTCCTTGACCTCAAGATCATCATCAACGACACCAACACAGCCCCGACCTTCGTCGCCTACGACATCGTCATGAATGAGATGTCCACAGGAAGCAGCGGCCTCGAGCTCGTCTTTGCCACCGGCGTCAGCGCAGGTTCCAACGAGACCAACCAGAACATTACGTGGCTCTTCTCCTACAGCTCCCCACAGCTCTTCTCGCAGCAGCCCATCCTCAGCTTCAGCAGAGATCTCCTTGGAAACCTCCAGGGCATCGTGAAGTTCCCAGCCAACACTGCCATCATGAAAGGCACGGCCGATTTCTCCGTCAGGCTGGCTGACGATGGTCCTTCATCACTACTCACCGGGGACAGGAACGTGTCAGATCCTGCTCGCTTCCTCCTCACCGTGCGCTCGCTCTACGTCCCCTCGTTCCAGCTCGTCAGGTCCACCCTCACTCTCGAGGCAGGGAGTACCTGGTCTGAGAGCCTCGTCAACAACATCCGGACGAAGCCGTACGACACGACAGCGACTAATTATCACTTCCAGCTGCAGCCCATCAGCAGCTCAGCAGGGCTGGCGACAGACATCATGAGCGCGGTCAGCTACTTCAACATCAGCAAGTCAGGTGTCGGCAGTTTCTCCGTCCTCGCTGACGCCTGCGGCGTCTACCAGTCGAACATCCTCCTGGTCGTTGACGATGCAGAGCAGCCTCGCCCCCCGTCCTTCCTCAGACCCTTCGAGCTTGCGGTCACCTCGCAGTCTGTCGTGGAGCTGAGGCAGCCGGGGAGCCTGAAGGTGCTGCAGGGAAGCACTTTCAGCGCTAAATGGTTCGAGTTCCTCACCGTCCGTGACTGCCATCGCCTGAGCACCCGACCAGTCACTTACGCGCTGCAGTTTGACAACTCCGACAAGTTCCTTGAGACCCCGCAAACTCTCAGCGACGGGACCCTCAGCTTCCGCCTTGTCTCCACCTTCGTTGGCGTCATCCGCCTCAACGTCACCATGAGCTTTGACGCCTCCGTCACCGTCACCGTCCGCAACAACCACCTGCCCTTCGAGCTCTTCGTCGAGAGGAAGGCCGGACTACCCACCTTTGAGATCTCTCAGACCCTAATCAAGGTTGTCCAGAGCCAGTCTCCCCAGCTCGTCCCCGGCTACGTCAGAGTCCTGCCGTACCTCGTGCAGAACTGCAGCTTCTTCGTGAATCTCGCCACCTCCATCAGCATGTTTGACGCGACGCCGCTGATCGATGCGGAGGGCAACCTTCGCTTCACCACCGGGCGGGACCATGGCGACGTCGTTGTGTTTGTCATCTTCAGGTTCGACGACGGAGTGGACCAGGTGTACGAGACAGCCAACGCCACCATCTCCATCATCCCTCAGCCCCGCATCCTCTCCATCTTCCCCAGTCTCGTCCCCACTCGCGGGGCCAGCATCACCATCCGAGGAGAGAACTTTGCGGGAGCTCAGGAGTCCGTGGATGTGTTTGTGGGAGGGAGAACCTGTCAGACCATCCGTCAGCTCTCTCCAGCTGAGCTGACCTGCGTCGTCCCAGCTGGTTTCGGCATGATGAGCGTGTCCGTCAACATCAGCAGCGAAAGTCTCTCGCGCTCCTCCCCGACCGTCTCGTCCATCTACATGGGCCACATCGCCATCGCAGGCTCGACCGCCGGCAACATGCAGGCCCGAGGCCTCGTCGCTCTCGCTCCCTCCGCGACCAGGAGCGTGTGGCCTCTCAGTTTCCTTCCTTCAGCCCTCCGCCTCCCCGTCGACGCGTCTCACGGCGTGCGAGCGATGGCTTCATCTTCAGGAGCAGGAGGCGACCTGACCCTCTACCTCGGGGGCTCCTTCTCCAGCCTCGGGGGACTGCAAGTACAAAATGTAGCAGGTGAGCAGGGAGAGAGCGGAGTAGGAGGAGGAAGAAGGAGGGGAAAGAAGGGAGTGTTGAGGACGGAGGAAGCAAGCTGACGTCTCGTGCAGGCTGGAAGGAGAATCGATCGTTCGCGCTGGGGCTTGGGGTCAACGGGGCTGTGTCAGACATGTGCGTCGTCAAGGGGAGCCTCGTCGTCGTGGGCTCCTTCACCAAGGCGATGAACCAGCAGGACGTGGTTGACTCTCCTTTCATCGCCTCCTGGGACGGCAGCCGGTGGATGCCCTTCGGCGATGGCTCGCTGGTCTACGGGAGCATCCTCTCAGTCCTGTGCAGCGAAACAGAGGCGAGTGAGGGGGAGGGGGAGGGAGCTGCTGACCCAGACTGCAGGTCTTCGTGGGCGGGAGGATCGAGAAGATCGGCGACATGGCGGTCGGTCGAGTCGCCAAGTTCTCGTTCCTGGAGGGCAGCTGGAGTGTCCTCGGCAACGGGACCGGACTGAGAGGAGGCAACGTGCACGCTATGGTGGAGATGGACGGGGCTGTGCTGATAGGAGGAAGCTTCACCGCTGCTGGACAGGTAGCTTTCTCTCTCCCTTCCCACTCCCTGACTGATGCTGCCCAGCTTACCTCCGGCAAGCTCGTGGCCTGGAGGAGGACGAGGTTTGAGGCGCTGGGGGAGATAGGAGGAGACGTGTACTCGCTGGCGGTGGTGGGGACAAGTCTGTTCCTCGGAGGAAACTTCTTGTCCATCAACGGGGTCAGCATAGAGCGCGTCGCTCGCTACCAGAACGGTCGCTTCTTCGCCCTTGACCCCGTGAGAGACGGTACCGTCATGAGCATCGCTTTCGCTGATGGCTGCATGTGAGTGAACTTAACCTCCTCCTCCTCCTTTCCCTTCCTCTCGTTCTGCTCGCCCTCCTCTCGTTCTGCTCGCCCTCCTCTCCCTCCTGCAGTTGCTTCCCTCCTCCCCCACTCACATCTGTTCAATCAGCTACGCGGGTGGGACCTTCACTGGGAGTTTGGCCGCGTGGTGCAAGCGAGAGGGAACAACCTGGACGGGCGAGAACGTGACAAGCTTCCCGGAGCTCGGACCAGTCTACAAGGTCATCCCTATCCTTCAGAGCTGAGCCAAGAAGCGCGAAGGGAGGGAAAGGAGGATTGTGAGGAGAAACGAGAGCTTGTTTAGAGAGCTATACTTGTTCCCTGCTCATCCGTCCATTACATCCTTCATCGCTCTGTCTTCCTCCCCCTCAGCAAAGCTAATCAGATCCTGATTGAATTCTTCTGGCTTCTCTTCCCCTCGATCTGCTTCTTCTTCCTCCCCCCCCCTCGTCTCCTTGTTCTCCTCCTCTACCTCCTTCTCCTCCTCCGCAAGCGGCTCTCCATCCTCGTCCGGCACAGCCGTTCGCTCCCCCCCAACTGTCTCCACGAGCTTCTCGAGCATTTCGCTCATCCTCTCCAGCCTCTGCTGCCCGACCTCTGCGTCCCGCTGCATGAAGGACACCATGAGCTGCTTCATCTCCTTCATCTCCTCCGCCATGGCAGCGCTCGTTCGGCTCAGCGCTTCCAGCTTCTCCTCCTCCTTCCTCCCCTCGTCCTTGAGCAGCAGCCACTTGAGGGTCAGCAGTATGGCGTCCTTAGGCTTGCCTGCTCCTTCCAGCGCTCTGTTGACCCCGCGGTGAAGGAACAGCGCGAGCTGCTCCTTCATGACCTGCACGAAGCTGCTGAACGTCAGCGACGAGTCCTCGCCCTGCAGGTCCGACGTCATCTCCTGCCAGTCCTCAACCGACAGGTAGAAACCCTGCCCCATCAGCTTCCTCAGCCCCTCGTCCGTCTCCTGGAACGAGACCGTCCCCGAGCCGTCCACGTCGAGCCGCTTGAAGATCGCTTGCAGAGACGCGTCGAGGTCCTCGGGAGACTTGAACTGGTGAGGTCACGTGAGAGAGAGCGAGAGAGAGGAGGAGGAGAGGAGAGGAGAGCGGGAGGTAAGCAGAAAGAGAAGATGAACAAGAGGAGGAGGGGAAGAGGAAAGAAGAGACTGACGTGCGAGAGAACTTGGAGAAGGGGGTCGAGCGAGTTGAAGTCTCGTAGGGGAGCGCTCTTTGCCTTCTCCTCCTGCCTCGCCTTGGACATGGTGGCGAGGAACTCGTCGAGTAGCACGGCAACGATGATGTTTCTGCGTCAAGAGAGGGTCAGTGCTGAGAGGATGGGGAGAAGCGGAGAGGACGAGAAGGTGAGACGAGGAGGGGCAGGGCGGGCAAGGAGCAAGGATCGTGGCTTACATGAGGAGGATAGAGGCGATCAGCATGTAGGAGGTGAAGAAGAGGGCGGTAGGGACGCTGATCCTCGAGTCTTCATCCAGCAGCGAGCGGGTCACGCTGCTCGCCCACGAGTCGCCAGTGACGCACTGGAACATGGTGAAGAGGGAGGAGGAGAACGTCCCGAAGAATCGTTTGTTCCGCTCCCCGAAGAACTCCACCGCCATGATCGCGTACACGCAAGTCACGAGCCCCAACATGAGGAACGTGTTCATGACAGGAACCAGCGCCTGTGACAGCCCCTGCATGATCAGCCGTAGCGACTTGATCTGGTCGAGGAGGCGGAGGAGGCGGAGGATACGGAGGGAGCGGAGCTGGTTGAGGACGGGAAACCAGCCGCCGATCGCGATGAGGCTGCTCATGACGACCACGAAGTCAAAGATGCGCCACATGCTCTTGAAGAATCGCCGGACGCGGAACGCTGCCAGCTCCACCCCCAGCTCAGCAGCGAAGAGGAGCGTGATGAGAGCGTTGAGAAAGAGGAACACGGCGCGGAGGTTCGAGCCCTCGGGAGGCTTCACCTCTACCTCGACAGCAGACAGCAGGAAGCTGAAAGTGATGCTCAACTGGGAGAAGTAGAGGAAACTCCTTGAGTTGTACATGCTGTCAGCAAGGGCAAGAAGCCTCTCCTGCATGTTCATGTTGCTCACGAGCTGATGGCTCCTCTTCCTCGCCGCGATCGCCATCGCGCTCTTGATGTTCTCGAACCAGGTGCGGCAGACGTGAGTCTTGCTGCAGCGGAACAAGTAGACTCGCCCCGAGTTGTGGCCCATCTCCATCGTCTCGATCTTGAAGCAGTTCGCCTCCTCCGAGTCCCCGAGGATGTCGAGGACGTGGGAGGAGCTGTCCTCCTTCAGGAACGAGTACTGCCTCACCTTGCTGAACGACGACGACACCAGGGCAAGCGTGCCAGACGGCTGGGCCGTCTTCTCGGTCTCGATCACCTCCTTCACCTCCGACATATAGTTGCACTGGTGGATGCTCACGATTTCATGCAAGGGGATCCAGTCGATGCACGAGTTCTCTCCCTGCACGCTCATCGCGAGAATGTCCTCCGTTAGCACCCCGGTCACATTCCTCCACCCTGCCGTCCCGCTGTAGCTCGCGTGTTTCTCCAGGTCCCCCGCGAAGATCTGGTCGCCGGGATGCGGCATCTCTATGAACAAGTCCTGCACAGTCGTGTACCTGGACTGGTGGGCGTCCCGCAGCTTGATCAGCTTGGAGATGGCCCCGGTTGCTGTAGCTTCCTCCCCCATCATCTTTGTTGGAACCTGCGAGTATGAATCAGCACAACAGCTCGTGCTACACTTCCCTGGGATGTTCTCTGAGCAGTGGCGACCTAGTTATCTTCTCCTTCTCTCCTCGTCACGCTCTTCCATTTTCACTGCTGCTACGTTGTTTCTTTTGAGTAAGTACCCTCTCCACCTTCATGCTCCTGCTTCACCTCACCTCTCTGCTGTTCTGCTGTCTCGAAACCCCCCCCTTTCCCCTTCCCCTTCCCCTTCCCTCTCCTCCTCCTCCTCCTCCTCCGCCATTCTGCTTCCCTCCTCCTGTTCCCCCATTCTCCCCGACATGTTCGCTCATATTAACTAAACTTTATCCGTACAAAACACAAAGCATCGAAACTACTTGGCAACCCACGGACTCATCCCCCTCATACCCATCATCCCCCTCATACCCCAAACTCCCACGCAATCCATCAGTACCCCCACCCTCGTCGCCTACTGACTCATCACTACCCCGTAGAAGTACCGAAAATACACGGGTACTTTTGGGTTTGGAGTATGACCACCCTCCGGCATTTGTGCACGAAACACGGTGAATAGAGGGGGTAGGGTAGTGGATTGGAGGGGAGGGAGGGGACGGGGTACTGTCTCCTCTGTGAGACAGCGGAAGCAGGAGGAGGAGGGAGGACGAGCGGGAAGGAGGGGAGGATGAGGAGAGAGAACGAGGATACGGGGCATAACAATGCTGCATTAGCCGATGTGATGCTCAGAGAAAGTGAGTAGAATCGCCACAGATCTCGCAGGTCAGGGGGAGGAGAAAAATCCAAGAGAAACATTCGTGTAGGTACGAGCACCGGCGGAGAGGATCAGAAGGAAAGAAGAAACTGAGATCATCAGACAGCATGAAATGATGGAAAATTACCAATTCTAGCAATGAATGAGAAGAGCCGATTGCTCTGGTTGACCCTGACCTTTGGAGTGCAAAGAGAAGGATCGGAAACCCTTGGCAGCAGAAGGCAGGGTAGAGCAAGAGCAAGAGAAAGGGGCTGCAGAACTCGATGCAGAGAAGCAAGATGTTGCATGACAAAGATAAAGTTGTGGAGCAGAGCCAGGCTGTGAGAGGCCAACAGCAGGGAAGGACAGGAGTTTGTCCCGCGGCCATGACAGCATCAGGCGTGTGAACCGAGTTGACTTTGAGCCTCAGGTCTGATCGCATTCTCGCACTCTACAAGAGAAAGCAAAGAGCGGTTGATCGTTGGGCTTCAGAGGAGATGAGGAGGATCGGGCACATCTCACTGTTGGTTCTTCTCCTCGTCGCCGCTGGTCGCTGTCAGGATGACCTGGCGGACTACCCGATTAAGGAGGAGCAATGCGAAAACTTCGGAGAGTGTCTCACGGAATGTGTCAAGAAGCTTCCTCCCAACAGACAGTTCACGGAGATTGTAAGCAAGCTTCATGCTGTCATGAGCTTGTCTCGATGCTAATCTATCAATGTGCAGTTGGACTGCTCTGATGCCTGTGCCGTAACGCACTGCAAGGAAGTGGTAGTTGATGATCCTACTCTGGGCCTCGGATCTACCTCGGTAAGCACTCGAGCTGCGTGGGTTGAGATCATAACGTTTCTTATCCAGGCGCCCCCTCCTCCACCACCACCTCCCCCTCCTCCCGCTTCTTCGAGCAAGAAGAAGAAATCCTCCCCGCCACCTCCTCCCCCCCCTCCTCCACCCCGTTCAGCTCCCCCTCCCCCTCCCCCTCCCCCTCCCCCTCCCCCTCCCTCCCCTCCTCCTCCTCCCCCTGCCTCTACCCGAACATCATCCAAGAAGCCCCCATCGTTCGGAGGAAAGAAAGCCCCTCCGTCCTTCGGGTCAAACGCTCCCCCCAATCAGCAGTGGGGGGGTCAGGCTGGTGCCGCGTCAGTCCAGCCAGCTTTGGATGAAAACTTGCTTCCCGGGGGTGGACCCAACGAGATGCAGAAGACTTCTGTTGGAACAATGATGTTCAATCCCAAGGATATGCCTGTTGGTAGGAGTATCGACAAGTATGGGGAGTACGGAAGGGACGAGCTGGAACTTCTCAAGCAAGTCATTCGTAAGGGAGATGTGATCGTTGATGCTGGAAGTATGTATGGACATACTGCTCTGGGCCTCAGATCGGTGATGACTGCTCGCGTCTTTCGACTCTTTAACACAGAGCGTTGGTGTAGGTCGTGGGTGACGAAGGAGCGATTTACGCTTTTGAGCCTCAGCGCATTCTGCACCAGATTTTGTGCTCTAACTTTGCCATCAACGGAGCTTTCAACTGTCACTGCAGGCAAACAAAGTTGCGATGTATGCTTCCCCTTGACGGTCTGACGCAGACAAGAAGCGCTCGGACAGAAGGGAGGAGAGATTGTTGTGCCTGCCCTCGACATCGAGCAAGAGGGCTGCCATGGTGCGAATCTCCATCATGTTGTGTAGACCAGACCATGTCGACTCACTTGCTTCAGGGTGCACTGCACTTGATGCCGCGAATTATCTGGGCGAAACTGTGAAAATGACGACTGTTGATGACTTGTAAGTTACAAAGTTGAATGTCCTGACATTGAGAATGACGGCATGTGGCCACTACAGAAATTTGCCCAAGTTGAGGCTCCTCAAGGCTGATGTGGAGGGCATGGAAATCGACATCGTGAAGGGAGCTGTGAAAACAATCCAGTACGCGTGAGCTTTCATTGCAGGATGAAGTTGTGATTTGTCATGCAGGATGTTCAAACCCGCCTTGTATGTTCGTGCTCATTACAACCCTGAGGACAACACGTGAGCTGATCCGCCTTGACACTCTTTTACTGACATCTCCATGTAGTCTGTCGCTCAAGACCCAGGAGCTCGCCAGATTCATCAAGGTTTGCCTTCACCGTGGCGCTCTCGTAGCTGAGTTCTGTTCAGGGACTCAACTATGACATGTATTGGCACTTCGTCCGGCTCTACTACGTGAATGAAACGCATCGTGCTTGTCTTGTCGTTGATTTTTTCAACAGGAGGACAACTTCTACTCCAACGCCGAAAACGAATTCGGGGAAGACACGGTGACCTGAGTGACGGGAACTGCCGGTTTTTGTTGACTGAACCCGTAGGTCCTTTACATCCTCGCTGTTCCTCATGTGGAAGGATCGAGCATTGAAGGCCTTGATCCCGTCGAAGTTCCTCCTCTCTAAATACATTTCGAGCAAGTTAGCATCGGGAATGAAACTCTCAAGCGCTTCGCCCAGGAAGAGATTAACTTCGTTTCTATGTACAAATCAATCATCCATCTCATCACACATCTCCATGAACTCGATGGACCATTTCTTGTAGATCACCATCGCCTAAATGGTCGTCAGTTGACATGATATGCACACGCAACTATCAACCTTGGCAGCGAAAGCTTCTAAGTGGAAGATTGGCTTCGAACCAAGTTGCAGACGATGCTCGAAGAAGGCAGCATTCTGTAGGATATCTACCTTGACACTATCATCCAGCTTTCTCAGCAGCTCAAGCGCCAGCTTCTGCAAGATTAGCTCCGGTGGGATGCAGCTCGCCAGCAGCTCGTAAAATTGACCCCTGCACATTTATCAGCGCGAGCGCGACAAGTCGAAATGTTTCACACCTGATCTCCAGGAGCTTCTTAGGCGATTGATCCTCAAGGATGTTGTGAGCGATCATTCCCACGTACACCTCCCAATCCGCTAATTGTGGTTGAGACTGAAAAGAGTCAGTCGCTTACTAGACGTTGAGCAGAGCGTGAGACACCGATTCATCGACCACTCCGAACTTGACGTAGGTTGACTCCAGCATCAACAAGGCTTTTCGAAGGTTTCGATTGGACATGTTTGATATCTTCGTTGCCGCTTCGACCGGAAGCTCCTTCTTTACCTGCCGCGACCCCTGTGAGCAAGGAGCAGAAACACGCGATCCATCTAGTCACCTCCTTGCGGTACACGTTGCATAAGATTTCTTCTACTTCTTTGTCGCGAGGCGCGGGGACTCTCAAACAAATGCATCTGCTTCTTAGCGGCTCGATGACCTGCGCATTCTCTTGAGATTGACGCTTCACAAAGAAATTGCTCACCTTGCTCGCATTGTTGCAGACCAGAACGAAACGACACGCGCTGGTGTACTTCTCCATCGTTCTTCTCAAGGCCGCTTGACCATCTCGAGACATCTTGTCAACTTCGTTGAGCAGAACAATCTAACATTGAAACTCAGGATCCAAGGATAGGAGTGACAAACGAGACCTTGAATTGCACGGCAGCTGAGTTTGAGGGTGCATGGCTCTGAGCTATCTCCTTGATCACTTCCTGGGCAACATCACGATCTCTGCACAAGAGGTCGTCACGTGAACTGGCTGCATCCCCCTCCTGATGTTCACCTGTAGGGCCCGACATCGCTGGGGTTGATCTCGACATGGTAGTTACTCGTGATGAAGGTGATGTCAACAGAGCTCGACTTGAATTTGAAGTTCTTGATCTCCACCTGACGCATTGAAAGGTCATCAACCCCCAAGACTCCTTCCGCTTCTTGCAACCTTCAGTTTCTCTACACCAGGACCGTAAATCTAGATTGACATAGGGTCAGGCAGGTCTTCTTCGATCACCGAGTACCTCACGCAGCAGTGCCATGATTCTCGTCTTTTTGCCTGCACCAGGGGGGCCATAGAACAGTAAATGGCACATGTTCTGAACGTTTTCTTTCGCAGAGATTCGTTTCAGCTGTTGTGTCAGGCCATCGTTGTAAGTTAACTTGTCCAGCTGAACTGGTCGATATTTGTCGACCCACAACATCCTTGCTGCTAAGAATAGTTCAATCAGCACTCAAGAAACATGATGGTGGTAGCATCATTCTCGGTCCTGGTCTTTTCCATCCACCTTCGCCCTCTATCTCACTTCCCTGCGCCCTTTCTACTCCCCTCTGCTCTGCTCTGCTCTGCTCTGCTCTGCTCTGCTCTGCTCTGCTCTGCTCTGCTCTGCTCTGCTCTGCTCTGCTCTGCTCTGCTCTGCTCTGCTCTGCTCTGCTCTGCTCTGCTCTGCTCTGCTCTGCTCTGCTCTGCTCTGCTCTGCTCTGCTCTGCTCTGCTCTGCTCTGCTCTGCTCTGCTCTGCTCTGCTCTCTCCTTCCCTCCCTCCCTCTCGCTCCCTTTCTCTCCTCATTTCTCCCTTGTCCCTGGTTCTTGCATGCCCCTCCTTTCCCGCCAACTTCAATTTTTCACCCTCATCCCCGCTCATTTTCTTGACCCTCATCCCCACCCATACCATCCTCAGCCCGAAAACTTCCAGGAAAACTTCTGCAAAAACCTGTTAGGACGTAGTAGTGATGCAGGGAGGGGAACGCGGCAGGAAGATCAGGATGGGGAGGAGGACGAGGACGAGGACGAGGAGGAGGATGAGGAACGTGACGATGTAAGATATCACGAACAAGAGTACAGGGAGGAAGAGGAGCAAGAGGAGGATATAGAATCTTGACGAATGCAAGGGAGATAGCAGAGGAGGTGGGAGAAGCGTTTCGAAGTAGGTGGTGAGAGGCTGTGAGGGGCATGAATACTTGTTTCAGTGATCAATTTTTGGCTGATGAGTTAATCTGCAGATGTCAGAGAGTTTCTGAGGTCACAAGACTTTGAGAGCGATGTCAAGTTTCAATGACACCTGACGGGGAGGAAGGGGCGATGCTTTCAAGCGCTTGACGAACGAGGAGTGACGAAAAAGAAGCAATGTCAACTGCCGAGCTCTTCTCTTGATATCACTTGATTGTCCTGTGCGAGCTGTGAGCATGAAGTCAAACTTGATCGCACGTCGCTATCATGTTTGGCCCGGCAACAACATCTTCTGCTGCTATGGTATGATCGTGTCAGTATGCAACTAGATAGTGAGACAAGTCTGCAGGACGGGTCATGCTTGGTCCAGGAATCTATGCCTGCATCGGAACCTTGCTCCTTATTATTGTTCCTTCAACTCTCTTCTTCTCTAAAACGTTCCCATGTCTCTTTAGACGAATCCCCCATGACTTCACTTTACCGCAGTTGTCCCATCCTCCTCTCACATCAAGACAGCGTGGCTCTGGTTGTCATCGCAGCCATCTTGTTGATTCTGCTGCTCTACTTCTTCTTCCGAACAGCAGTCTGTGATCCAGGTCCAAGCCCCTCATCCTCGTCCTTGCTCACGCCATCATCTCCAGGGATCATCCCGAGACGAGACGGATATCTGGATGCTCGCTTGCAGCGCCTCGTGCCCTCGTGAGCTTCATGCTGCAAGATTTCCTGAGTGACGATGTTGCTGTCAGGGCGCAAGGAGTTGTTGTCAACGGCAGGGTGATGACCCTCAAGTACTGTACTACCTGCAACATCTACCGGCCGCCGAGGTGCTCACACTGCAAGGTGACGCGAGCCCTTGCGGGCTCCTCGCAACTCTCCCTCTCCTCCTGCCTCATCGGCCTCGCAGATCTGTGACAACTGCGTCGACCGATTCGACCATCACTGTCCCTGGGTCGGGAACTGCATCGGGAGGCGGAACTACCGCTGGTTCTTGTTCTTTACTTTGGACTCTGCCATCTACGCGTGAGAAGATGAAGAGAGGTGGGGATGTGCTCGCGTGTGCTTACTGGCTGCAGCATCTACCTCTTCGCCCTCTGCATCCGAGCTCTCTATCTCGCTGGGCTGGAAGCTGCTCCTTATGACGTCGTCTCCGCGTTCATCACTGGCGCATCCTCGAATCCATCGACGGTGAGAAGGACGAGACGAGAGGACGAGTTGTGATCACCTCGTAGGTCTCGATCGCCATCGTCTGCGTCCTCTCTTTGTTTTTCACAGGCGCACTCTCCGCCTTCCACATCTACCTGCTCTCCGCAAACATCACAACCAACGAACATGTCGCTCCCAGTCTCCTGCTCCTTCCTTACTGACGCGGTTTCAATCTCAGATGAAGGGAGTTTTCGGAGACTCTGAAAGCTTCTACAACAAGGGGTTCTGTCGCTCCTCTCCTCCTCTCCTGCTTGCTGACCTCGCGACCTCAGGTGTCAGGAGAACTGGCTCGAAACCATCTTCGACCCCGTTCCAGAATCTCTTGTTGACGCAGCAGGCACGCTTGATCCCATCTTTGCCCCGCCCCTTGTTCGCGTTACAACAACCTCCTCTCCGGCCTCTCCTCCTCCATCCGCTGCATTCAACTATGAACTCTCCTCCTCCCAATCCCTCTCTCCTTATTCTCCTCTGTTTCCTTCATCCTCCTGCCACATCTCATCTCTGCTCGCAGAGAGTGTAGTCTGTGAAGACCAAGGAGCAGAAGGAAGCTCGATGCTTCCCCTGGCGCAGGCAGCGGTGAGAGAAGAGCTTCACCCGTGCGTCTGCTGATCTCGGTGACTGCAGGAGCTCAGGATGGTCACGACGACAGCAGGTTTCCTCTTCCCTCCACCTCCTTGAGTGAGCTGACCAGCCGTAGAACAAGCAGGCGGCGACCAGCCAGAGCCGTATGACAACCCTCTGCTCAACCGCCTGCCCAGGATGTGACAGTCCAGTGATGTGTTGCAAGAGCAGGGGGACAGATGGAGCTAGTCTCCTTTATTCGCTTCATTTCATCTTCTCCGCTCTCATCCTCTTCTCCCTTCTACGTTTAATAACATCGCTCAAAGAAACCCCCGCTGAGCTGGCGGCCACGTAGAGACTTCCAACCTGGAGATGCAAGTCAAATCACGTTGAGTGAGGTCAACGATCGCTATCACTGTCGCCAACGCCTGAAGCACAACCATGATCATCTACAACAACACCATCGTCATCGGCACAGCATCCCACAGCAAACTTCCTTGCCGAAAGTAGTAGCTGGTGGCCGTGCGCTGCTAGCACCTCGACGAAATGCCGTCGGCTCACAACCATCATGATGCAATCAGCGAGTCTGAGCCTCGAGGTGAGCCCGCGCAGTGAGAGCAGGAGGAGCAGGAGGAGCAGGAGGAGCAGGAGGAGCAGGAGGAGCTGGAGTACGAGATGCAGAAGAAGGCGGAGCTGACGAGTCCTGCCAGGTCGGTGAGCGATCATCTTGACCTCCTCACCCACCATGAATGCGAAGAGCGGCGAAGGTCTGCAGGAAAGACCCGAAGAAAACTAGACCCATAGCCACGAAGAGAAGGAGAGACGTCGGAATGGGAACCTGCAAGTGTCGACTGAGCGCAGACCCAGTGTGGCAAGGGGAACCGACGTAAGAGATCGTCCAGCTGACGACCACCATGGCGTTGAGTATGATGACCTGCAAGGCGTAAGAGCTCTCGTGCTCCCCTCCCTCTCACCTGCAGAGTTCCGCAGACGAGGATCCACCAGCGGATGCTCTGATCCTTGGCCATGGCTGAAGCGACACACTGTCACTGCTGACAAGCGAGGATCAAGTGACATGGACCTGAGCAGACGACGATGGAAAGAGCAGAGAGAGGGGCAGCAACGTCAAGATGGAAGGAAGAGCTCGGGCAGCTAAGCAATAAAATCGGCTAGAGCGAGGGCATGATGTCGGTAACGAAACCTCACAGAACCAGGTACCAAGTAAGAGGCAGGATAAGGTGAAGGTGCAGGTGTAGGAGCAGGAGCAGATGTAGGAGCAGGAGCAGGAGCAGGTGTAGGAGGAGCAGGAGCAGGAGAAATGTAGGAGCAGGAGCAGGAGCAGGTGTAGGAGGAGCAGGAGCAGGAGCAGGAGCAGGAGCAGGAGATATGTAGGAGCAGGAGCAGATGTAGGAGCAGGAGCAGGAGCAGATGTAGGAGCAGGAGCAGGAGCAGGAGCAGGAGCAGGAGCAGGAGCAGGAGCAGGAGCAGGAGCAGGAGCAGGAGCAGGAGGAGGAGCAGGAGCAGGAACTTGGTCCTCGATGTTCCGCCCGATTTGTTGCATCCCCGCTCAGGCCCAGCAGGGTAAATCCTATGCATCCTAAGTAGGTAGGGTGCTCATTGTACAGGGTACATGAGGAACAGAGGGGGTATGTAATGATAAAAATAGGGTGAAAAGTCATACATTAACATGGTGGGTACTTTGGATTGAAGGGTAGGGGTATACCAAAATATTGACAGGGTAGGGTGGTACTTGGAGAGAACGGGATGCACGCGCTCAGACGGGGATAGGAAGAGAAGGGGAGGAGAAGATGAGGAGAAGATGAAGATGAGAAGATGAAGGGAAGAGCAACACCACACTGATAGACAACGACAGACTTCACTCGCAACATCTCTACTGCCTCTAGTCTACAGCTGAGTCGACAGAGATCCAGCGACATGCGGCCGGTCTCTTCGGCTCCTCGGCGCTCGAGGCTCGTCGGATGTCTGGTCATCAGGGTCTCTCTCTTTCTCCTCCTCCTCGCTGTGCCCATGGGCGTCTCCCTCCCCAGCGTCCGGCTGGAGAGACAGCATGCCTCTCCTCCAGCTCCCCGCCTCTCACTGCGAGGAGGTGCTGGCTTTCCCCCCATGTCCACCGACCAAGTCGCCGGCATGATGACGCCGGACATGATCAAGGCGGCAGGGCAGATGATGGCGAACATGGATGGCAACGCTCTGACGTCCATGATGAACATGGCTGGCAACTTTGCTGGCGCGCCGCCAGATTTCCGCATGGACCCGAACGAACTACGGGAGGCAGCGCAGAAGCTCTCGAGCCTGAGCTCGGAGGAGCTGTTGAGCTTCAGGACTGAGGCCATCGAGGCTTCTAAGTTCGACAGGGATCCTCAAGTTCGGAGAGCTCTCGATGCAGCGACAGCCCTGAAGCAGGAGGGGAACTCGATGCATGTGCAGAGCAACTACACAGCTGCGGTTGAGAAGTATGCGGAGGCGAGAGAGGGGCTGGCGAACATGACCAAGTCCAAGGAGGCGAGAGTCCTGATTCGCAGCTGCCTGCTGAACGAAGCAAGCTGCTACATCAAGATGAAAGAGTTCGCCAAAGTGGTGGACCTGTGCGACCAGGTGCTAGAGCATGAGACGTTAAACTTCAAGGCCTTGTATCGGAGGGGCTTGTCGTACAAGGAGCTGGCCTTGGCTTGCAGAAGTGAAGAGCAAGGAGGAGACGTGGCAGTGAAGCACTTGCGTCAGGCCCTCAACGACGTGTGGAGCGCTCTTTGCATCGATCGGTCGGATGAGGTGGTAAAGCAAACGTACGAGGAGATCAAGGAGTGCATGGAGTCTGTGGGGCTGGGCCATGAGATCGAGAAGATCGAGAAGAGTGCAGAGCAGGTGGTGGAGGAGAGGCTGCAGCAGAGAGCGAGGAAGGACATCTGGTCCCACAACCATCATCATACCCCTCCCCACAAACGAAAGTTGATGCAGCTCGTGGACGCCGTAAGCAGCAACTGCACTGAAGTGAAGGAGGGAGCCAAGCTGCTGCGGAGTTTGGATGCAGACAACATGCTGGACCTAGTCAAGTCGTTCTCGTCCTTGAGTCTCGGTGAGTGTCTGAGCGGCTCCGGCTGCCTCGTGCCTGATGAGCTGGTGGCAGGCAACGCGAGCAAGCAGGAAGTGTTCACGGCCATCAATCTCCTGCAGCAGATGAATCAGACGCAACTGATCGACGAGTCTAACAAGATCCTTGACAATGCAGAGCAAGACGCATCCTCCCCTCCGAGGTTTGACACTCGGTCTCCCATGTTCCCTCCCGGCTTCCCCGACCTCAACAATCCTTTCGCTGCTCTCCAACCCTCCATGCCGGGGATGAAACCTCCCGGTGGCCTGGGGATGAACTTTCCGGGTATGGATGAGGCGGCCGGACCGTTTGGGCCAGAGATGAACAAGCAGGTGCGAGGAGGAGGAGCAGGAGCAGGAGAAGTAGGGAAGAGAGAGGCAGGAGGAGGAGGACGAAGGGAACGAGAAGTGACTTTTGAGATACGCAGGTGAAACAGGTGATGGACAACTTGCAGAAGTTTTACGAGCTGGCGATGAAGGTGAGGAGAGCATACCTCAAGGTGCGAAAGATCGCGCCATGGCTCTCAGTCTCGAGGATCCGCACGCTCTTCACAATCCGCTGGGTGCTCAAACGCTTCATCCTCCCTCGGGTGGGCGGCTACGAGGGCGTGGCTAAGGGGATGAGACTGTGCGCGAACATCGCGGTGGGGAAGACGACGGTGGAGGAGGTGCTGCGGCAGGGAGAGTCGTGGACGAGCTGGGGAGAGCGGCTCTTCCATGAGAACCCCAAGAGGACGGCGTCGTTCTTCCTCGGGCTAGGGGCGGTGCTAGCGCTGGTGCTGAGGGAGGTGGCGGCAAGGGTGGTCGCATATCTTGTGGAGGACAAGGAGGTGAGGGTGAAGGAAATTCGTTGAGGGAGCTGGAGGAGGAGCAGGAGGTCATGAAAGATTGTATTTCTTTGCGTCAAGAAAGGACTTGAACTGCGTCTGAAGTTTGCGGCTGAGGAAGGCGAAGAGGGACTGGAGCAGGGGCTTCTTGTCGGGGGAGGAGAAGAGGTGGAAGAGGTCCTGAAAGATACGCTGCTTGTCACTGTCCTCCTCCTTCAGGCCTGTCATCGCCTTCCTGAAGGTCTGGTACCCTTCCTTCCCTAAATCCTGCTTCACCTTCAGCAAGAACGCTTCCTGCTCCGACCTCTTCCCCGGCGCTGGCGCTGCCACAGAGGCTGTCGTCGCCGGCAGCTCTTTCGACCTTGGAGGACGAGGAGGAGGAAGAGGACGAGGAGGAGGCTCCGACGACCTCATGGTCCGTAACTGAGCGGAGAGAGAGAGAGCAGGCGTCTTGTCCGAGGTAACTCCTCCCCCACCTCCTGTGCTATCCTCTTCCAGCTCCGTTAACAGGGTACCCAACCCAGCAGCTGAACTCCCGCTCCCGTTGCTCTCCTTGACCTTCAGGTCCCGGTAGCTCTCGTACTCGATCAAAGTCTCCTGCCTCACCCGCTCCTCCACCTTCTGCGACTTGAGCACCACAACCTGCTCAGACGAGCGAGGGGGTGGAAACGACTCGACTCCGACAGGAGGAGGTTCACTTTCAGCTAGAGCAGAGCTGTGCTTGTGCTTCTGGAAGAAGTTGGCGAGTTGCTGAGTGACGGGGCCGAACTCGTCCTTCACTTCGATCCTCCCCTGCACCCACCGCGACAGCAGCGGCTGCCTCGTCCAACCCGCAAACCTCTCATCGCACAGCAGGATCGCACCGAAGTCTTCCTTGTGCCGGATCACTCGCCCGATGGCCTGGTTGACCGCCCGCGCCGCTTGCTGCATGTACCACTTCTCCCCGTTCACCGTCGTGCTCGAGTCCTTGGGCTGCCTCCCCGCCACCTCGTCCATGTAGGATCGCTTGAGCACGACTCTGGGGTCCAGCAGCGCAGGGAACGGGAGGCCCGTGATGATGACGGCCCGGCCGTGACGGTCAGCGAAGTCGATCCCCTCGCTCATCTTCCCCCTACACACTGCCATCAGGATCGCCCCGACGCTCCCCTGCTTGTCAACCTGGTTGTCAAATCGTGAGACCCCACCAGCCCCCCTCGCAGCTGAGGACCTGCTCGGTGTACGCCGTCACTGTGGCCTTGAAGTTCGCGCTCTCCCTGGGCTCCACGAAGACGTGCTTGTGGCGAGCTATCCTGTCCCAGATGCCGACGTTCTGCCACTCTTGGATGGTGTTGGTGAGAGCGCTGTAGGAGGGAAAGAACACCAGAAGCCCATCCGGCACGATCCTGCACGTATTTACAATCACATTCCCCAGGTCATGGATCATCTCTTTGTTGTCCTTGTTGCGGTAGCTGCTGTTCAAGACTGTCCCTCGAGGCCCTCGTCTCAGCACCGCAGCGAAGATCTGCTCGTCAGAGATCACGTGCTCATTCTCCAGTACCACCTCAAACTTCATCTCCATCTCGATCGACCATGAAGACATGGGCGACAGAGTTCCACTTGCCAGCACGATGTTTCTGACGCCCTGCTGAAGGATGTCCCGCATCGTCACCCCAGCGCTGAAGCACCAGTAGCCCAGCGAGCGACCTCGTCTCGCTCTTGCTGCGGGAAAGAAGGAGGCCAGGCTGTTCCTCTCGGCCTTGGAAACTTTCTTGTTTTCTGGCTCGTCGCTCACGAACACCCGGTACAGCCTGGAGACGTTCTGGAGATCAGAGGGCTTGAAGACGATCTCGACAGCATCCGCAAACGACTTGAGAGCTGGGTTCGTCGTCATCGCCGACCCCTGCACCTCCAACAGCATGCTTACTGCTCTGCCGAGCATGAGGCAGAGCTCGGGAGCGTTGGTCATGTTGACCCCAGCAGAGTTGAACACCTCGAAGATGAACTCACCGCGTCGAGTGGCTGAGGGAGGAGATCCCAACAGCTCGATGGTGTCCAGCTGCTTCTCGAACGCGAGGAGGATGTGCTTGAGAATCTCGAGCTCACTCACGGAGGGCGGGTCAGCGAAGCTCATCTCCATCGGGTTCTCGCGCATGGCAATGCAGCGGTCGATCTCGCTCACGCAGATGGCGATGTCGCTGGAGCAGATGTCGAAGGAAGCAGCGTCCGAGCAGATCGTCTCCATGTTGTGAGCCTCGTCGATCACCACGATGCTGTCCTTCCACAAGTGCAGCAAGGACTTGCGGGACGCTGGATCAGTCAGGTAGTTGTACGGCATGAAGACAACTTCGGCATCTGACGAGAGGTCGCGAGACAAGTAGTAGGGGCAGACCTTGTGCGTGGTGCCATGCTTGCACAAGTCCTCGATGTCCATAAGCTCCTCCACGACTTCCTTCCTCTCGTGCTTGTGGTCCATTACGTTCCTATAGTACCCGCAAGCTTGTGCCCCAACCAGTTTCGAGCATGCAGCGTTCTGCGCACTTCCTCGCAGCTTCGATACCTCAGGATGTATGCAGAGCTGCTGGCGCGATCCCAGCACCGCCATACGCGGCTTGTAGGAGGACGCACGCAGCTCTCGCACGACCTGTGTCAACTGACCATGCGTGCGAGACATGTAGACCAGGCGGCTCGACCCCGGAGAGGACGGGAGGGGATGCATGGAAGGCGGGAGGGACGCAAGCTCAGGCGGCAAGGAGCTCTGGCTCGACACCTTGCTTGAGTTCTTCCACCCGAGAACTCCGCAGAGGAGGCACAGGGTCTTTCCTGTCCCTGTGGGGCTCTCGAGGAGCGCATGGCGTCCAGGAGCGCTGAGAGCATCGATGAGAGCTTCGAGGAGCCTCACCTGAGAGCCATACGGCCTAAAGGGAAACTCAACCCTCACCCCCCTCACCTCCACCCCTCCTCCTCCTCCTGTCCCCTTGCTCCTCCCTCCCGCCATCTTTTAATCTTTAGTTATATCGCCGGATCCCCTTGAAAAAGTTTCCCTCTTGAATGGGAGCGTAGAGTTGGGTGGTCAACTTGGAACAGAGGCACAAGAAGGCTAGAAGACCAGCTCGAGACGAGACGAGATGAGACGAGACGAGGAGAGACGAGAAGAGAAGAGAAGAGACGAGAAGAGAAGAGAGGAGAAGAGAGGAGAAGAGAGACGAGACGAGAAGAGAAGAGAAGAGACGAGAAGAGAAGAGAAGAGAAGAGAAGAGAGAAGAGATGAGACGAGAAGACAAGAGACGAGAAGAGAAGAGAAGACAAGAGACGAGAAGACAAGAGAAGAGAAGAGAAGAGAAGAGAAGAGAAGAGAGGAGAAGAGAGGAGAAGAGAGAAGAGAAGAGACGAGAAGACAAGAGACGAGAAGAGAAGAGAAGAGACGAGAAGACAAGAGACGAGAAGAGAAGAGAAGAGACGAGAAGAGAAGAGAGGAGAAGAGAGACGAGACGAGACGAGAAGACAAGAGACGAGAAGAGAAGAGACGAGAAGACAAGAGACGAGAAGAGAAGAGAAGAGACGAGACGAGACGAGACGAGACGAGAAGAGAAGAGAAGAGACGAGAAGAGAACAAGAAATCAGAAGTCGACGACGCGGAAGCAGATGGTCGTAGAATATCACCACTGTCACAATACAGTGAGATACTTATCATCGGCATCGATTGATCAGTGAATGTGTCAGCAGCCTATTGGACTGACTTCTTTCTCAGGTGAATGTCAAGTCGACCTTGTCGAAATTCAGTGTCAGAGACGTGACGAGTAACAAGCGACTCGTCCAGGTATTCGGTCGCGTCACAAACTCTTTAGCCACTGCTGTCTGTAGGACGAAATGCAACAACTTTACAGGTTGAAGTATTTGTCTTTATCTCTTCGTTGAGAAATCGTCTCCTCTCTCAGCTTGTCATCTCTCGCTTGCTTGTCCTCGTCTTCTCCTGTTACGATTGTTTGGTCTCACTGGGGTCGCGCTAGGACATGCCCCTTTCTATGTGCCTATGACAGGAGGGAGTCAGAGATGAAGAAGGCTGCATCTGCTACAGCCACTGGGTGTTTCGATTATTGCGTCGTCCTACAACCACTCAAGGTGGAAAGAAGCTTGTGAAGGGTTGACTTGACATGGACTTTCTTGCTGTGTCCTCCGATTGTAGCGCGTTTAACAAACACGAGCAATGTCTCTGAGGATGAGGATGGGGGCGATGACTTTCAGCTTCATCTGCATGACACTGGGGCCTGCAGGGAGGGTGAGACCAACATGCCCCAACATGCAATTGGAGCAGCGACAGACACAAAGATGTAGAGCTTGTATCATTACATGCTACAATCCACGATCAAGGCGTGGCTTCCTGAGAGCTCGAGCAAACTTTAGCACTCTGCTCAAGGATTTGTCGTTCTCTGTGCCTCCTCTGCGCTTCACGATTCTGCCTGCGTCTCTTCTCCTTCCTCAGCTCGTCTGCAGACATGGAACACACGGGCAAGCCCGCGTTCGAACTTGCGTCGCTTGGCATGCTGACGTCATCGAAATAAGTTTTCGGAAAGGGCAAAGGCTTTGACTCCATGAGGGTCGTGGGTTTGCATCCCTTGTCTGGCATCGGAAAATCGAAGTTGTGAATGATGTTGGAGAGAGACGGCTCCTTCCTCCTTGAGCTCGAGTCCCCATTGTTGTCCTCCAGCTCTTTCCGCAGCTGGCAAATGTCTCGTCGCAGATTCTTGTTTTCCGCGAGGAGCAGAGCATTTCTCGAGTCGGAGAGTGCCAGCAACTGAGACAGGGACTCGTTCTGGGAGAGGAGGTCCGACACGTTGGACTCCAACCTCTGAACATAAGCTCGCGCTTGATCCCTCGAGCGCTTCGCCGCTAAGCGATTCTTGAGAGCTCTCTCGCATTTCTTCATGTCCGTCAACTTATCTCCATCCTGAGGCAGCGCCTGTGGATCAGGCAGAGCCTCTTCCTCTGTGCCAACTCCTGCCGAGGATGCTGAGTCACCAGCAACCTCTAGTTTCGTGTGCAAGATCTGTGCCACTTCCTTCTCCAATGCTGTTAGCGGTTCGGACATAGCTTCATGACCCAGAAAGCATGAGCTTGACAGGCACCTATATCCTCACACCCACACGATGACTCAACTACAATTCGGTTCCCTCACCGTATCGGGCCCGACGAAGAGGGCCAACAGTGATTGACTTTCGTGATCCGTTTATCTGATGATGAAGCAAACAAGCTTCGAAGATTCCCGAGGAGAATTGACACCGAGAGCGATCGGATCTCCCTTTACGCGCGAGAATGAAACCGAATGTTCGTGAAGCTATGACGGAGCTCAAGGATAGGAGGACGCAATGAGCAACTTCAAGGCTCTCGGACAGTATCTGACTGCGATGTAGCACACGATCACGAGCGGAAGAGAGGAGGAGGAGGAGGAGCAGCAGGAGGCGATGCGAGCAGAGCGATCCGAGCAGAGCCTCACTGCATACGCAGTTGGAAATGCACAACTCGATGGTGGGGGTCAATCATTGGGGGTGGGGTATTAAGAACCCCAAAAAGACATCATGAATATGGGGTACTTTCATATGAGATATGTGGGTAGGGTAGTAAATTTTGAAGATATGTGGGGGGTAGTGTGTACAAGATAGGGGTGGAGGTGAAGTCAGCATGTCAGGAGGAAACACATCGATGGCTCCATAGATTTTTTGATGGGGGTACAGGCCAGTGGGGTAGTATAAAAGATGGGGTGATAAAATTCAGGGTGGGTACCATGAGGGAATTTACCCTTCAGAATCCTGGACTTCAAAGGGTACCAAGCCATGGAGGCCGTGTATTAATAGGGTAGGGTGATTGGTAGGGGTGGTATAAACTGAGCTAAAACATTTTTTTGTGGTGGTCATATTGTGAACCACACGGTGGCAAATGGCAGGGTAGGGGGTGGTCTCACTCAAGGGTGATAATGAAAGATGTCACCATGTACCGGTATATAGACCATCAATTTACGTGAAAAAACGGGGTACACATCGATTCTGATGGTGCACTGTAAATTTGAGGGGGTAGGGGTGTTGGCGTGTGCGACAGTCAGCCTGTGTCAACCACAAACCTGCTGACCCTACCCCACATTTGATCCTTCCATATCACCCCTACCCCCTACTTCTAGATCCATTGTGGGGAAACACACTTAAACTGAGGATGCGGAGGCACTACCCCTACCTCCTGGATAACACTGCTGGTCCTGCTGCTGACGCTTCGTATAGAAGTCAAGAGTTTCGCCGGACCCGGCGGGATGGCACAGGCTCAGTAGTTCAGCCTACCGGCGTTCCCGGCCGCGATGATGCAACGGCCGGGCGGGCCCGGCCCGGGCCGCGTGTCGCCGGGCGTGACGCGTGACAGGAGAGCCGAGCCTCGGAGTACTGACTCCGTGAGTACGGGGCAGTGTGTCACGGTCTACCGTACTTTCAGTGACATTTGTGTGTGACTTTTGAATTACGAGTACGGTCGGGGAAATACTAAGATGATAGAAAGAATGGATTCAAGTTTAATTATACACTGATGATGCACATCTGAGCTGAAATCGTAACATGTTGTAGCTAGGGCACATGCCAATTGCACTAGTTTAGAGGAGCTTATCATGGATTCCTCCGGTGATCTTTCCACTAAGCATTTGCTTGACCGGGCTGAGACGAATGGATAAGCACCAGTCTTCATTTCAGATATGAATGCGACATACCAGAATCCGATGGCCTGGAAGATCATCTTCTTCTGGTCGGGAGTGAGGTTGCCGACCAAATCGACCGATACGTGGATGCTGTAGACGAGTCAGTTGCAGGACTGACAGACATTTGGTCAGCATAACCTGTCCGGAACTTGTTTGCCGGCTTCAAACTTGTCTTGAACTTCAACTTTGATCTGCGCAAGGAATCAACTTCACATTACACAGAACATCCACTTGACATCACCTCCTTCAAGGCGTCCGCAGGAAGTTTGCCGTCCTTGACCAAGGTAGAGGTGAAATGCTGCAAGGTCATGCTTGTGCATGCAGCCAATCCGGACAGCACCAAGTTCTACACAAGAACACTGTTTTAGAAGAGATCCCACGGGTGCATTACGATGTACCTTCGGGTTGGGGTTCAGGCATGCCTGACCAGGCATAGGTGGCAATTCAGCAACAATCTCTGTCAAAACAGTCAAACGCTTATGGCGATAAACTTGAAGCGACATCGTATGCTATACAGAAATAAAACGGAAACAAAGTGATCTCAAGCTAGTCATCAACACAGAAACTTGGCTCGCATGATTTTGAGAGCGAACTGAACACAACAAAGGCGGGTGGAAACTAGGGATGAACAGACCTGATGATCCGCCAAAGTTGATGCGGGTAGTGAAGTCGAGGCCCTTGGCAGAGGAGGTGACAGAGGACCAGCGACGAGTCGCAGGAGCGAACATACGAAGACGAGAGAGCATGGCAATGCAGAGGTAGTGAGTGACTTGGTAGGTAGAGGGTCTTTTTATATCCTCAGAACGGGGTGGTGTACATGACCGGTGGTCAGTCACAAACTCTATACCGCCAGCAAATTCTTTGGAAACGGAGGGTACGATACCTGAGGGTGGGGTGGTAGGGTGGTAGCGAATGGGCGTAACAGAAGATTGGGGACGAGGAGACAGGGGGATACAAGGGTGGGGGTGGTGACGGGGGTAGCTAGTTTTATAAATTATCGGGGAGGTAGGGGTTATGAGAAGGGATGAGGGGGGTAGTCCAGGTAAGGGGGTGGGGTCGGGCTGTGACCGAGGATTCCAGGGTCGCATCAACGAAGCAAGTGGTGTCATCAGTGAGGGCATGAGGGGTAGTAGGAATTACTGGTATCAAGGGGGGGTGATACGAGATTTGATGGGGGTACCTGTAGAGAAAAGCACAACATGAGCGTTGTGATCGCAGACAGTCAGCAGTGTCAGTGAATTCATATGGTGGGGTGATCAAGTGAGGGGGTTGCAGTGTACCCCACCAGGAATCTTCGTTGAAATTCGCTCATATTAGAAGGGGTAATTTAGCCAAGAAAATTATTTAAGTGGGGTAGGGTCCTTTAATGTGCGGAGTCAGCAGGAATATGGTGGGGTGGAGTCAGCAGGGAAAGGTCACCTACACACAACTACCAACTGCGCTTATCGTGAGCCCACCTCAGCATGATCTGTGACTGCTCAGTGACTCGCCTTCCTCGGGTCATGGCCCCGGGTCATCAGCCGGCCCCGGGTCATGCGGCCCTGCCGGGATCAACTCCGATACTGATATCTTTACTTAACTACAGGGGCAATCCGCCCCGCCCTGCCATGCTATCGCCGTCGCGGTCATCGATGGCATGCCCCGGGGAGGAGTGAGAAGCATAGCGAGCGGCACCAGCGATGGTGGGAGTACAGAGCAAAAAGGCCTTTAGCTCTGCCTTCTGCTCGGCCTTGAGCTGATGGAATATCCTCAATCGAATGCGTTTACAGCTCGGATCATCTGAAAGAAAACGCAGCAGCCTCGTCGCTATCCTCCTCTACATCCTCCTCTACATCCTCGCCTCCATCCTGACCTACATCCTCCTCTCCACACCCATCCTCCTCGTTAGTTCTCTGATTTCCTATTTTGTGTCTGTGCTTTTCCTCACGAGTCGCAGCTTTGCTTGCAAGACATTCGTGTACAACGTTATCTCTCCTCCTCTCCGCTGCTGTTCGCGTCTCCACCTGCTAGAGAATCCAACGAGAAGTGCCTTGATCTTGATCTTCCTCCTCTCTTGCGTATCATCGTCATCTCCCCCTCCAACCCAATCAGCACCGCTATGGCTGCAACAACAGCAGCAGGCATCTGCTCCTTTTAGTGCAGTAGATGATTCATCTCCAGAGAGAAATATGACCCCTCCGAACACTGCTCCAGCTGCTCCCTCTCTTGCTCTCTCTCTTGCTCGTTCTCTTCGGGATGAAGGGCATGAGCGGCTGCAGCCTTTGGTCGACAGGAGCGCCTACAAGGCTGCGGTTCGGTCCCGCCTTGACAAGTTGAACTCTCTCAGAGACGAGATCATGCTGGAGAAGTTGATGAAGGCAGGCCTGTGCCGTGAGAAGGAGCGAGCTAAGACTTGATCCTCAGGAAGTTGATAGCAGTGAAGACGAGGGGGAGGAGGGCGACGGGAGTCTCGTGGCAGCAGTAGACAACATCTTTGACGGCGAACCTGCGGGAATGTACCGGAGCATCTTCGACGGAGAGCGCTTCACCACGCTGACAGAGCTGCAGCAGCATATCAGGCGAGTGCTTGTTGCTTCTTGCACCTGGCTGATGCGTTGGAACAGCCAGGTCCTGCAAAAGAGATATGGACATGGTGAAAAGGTGGGGGAGGAGGATGAACTATCTTGGGGAGACGACGACGACGACGACGACGACGACGACGACGACGACGACGACGACAGGGACGAGGAGGCCATGCATGTGCGTGGGAGCAGGAAAGGACTAGGAAGGAGTGAGGGTGCAACGGCAGGAAGAGGCGCAGGAGCTAGCAAGAGCTCGTCACTTCCAGTCAAGTCCAAGAGAACGAGAGGAAAGAGGAGATAGCGCAAGTTGTTTAATAGGTCAAGTGTAGGAAAGCTCAAGTTTCAGTCCATTACGAGCTCTCGTGCCCCAGCCTAGGGATGGAGGAGGTGAAAGTCAGTGAACGGAAGGAGCCGCAGCAAAGGCAGCAAAGGCGGACAAGGCAGCACCTGTCGGAGGAGCTTGTTCCACAGCTTCATCTCACACTCCTCAGCGGCTGCAGCTTCGGTCACATGGTTGCCTCTCCCTCGCCCTCCTCCCGCTCTCTCTCTCCTTCCTCTGCTTCCTCTCCCTCCTTCGTCTCCCTCCTTCCGCGCTCTCCTGCCTCTCCCTCACCCTCCGCATCCTGTTGGTAGGTCTGTTGGCACGTCCTCCTCGCATGGTCCATTTCTCGTCGGACCCTCTCGTCCAGGATGCGAGCAGAGACCTACGAGGAGGTCAAGGGCGAGGGAGGAAGAGAAAGGATATGCGGACCTGCGGGTCCTGGTGCATTCCATGCCTCCAGCCTGGTCTCCCGAGCTGATTCTGAGGGTGAGTAAGAAGCATGTGGAGCAGAGGAGGAAGGGAGGTAGAGAGGGTCAGCCAGTGACGAGAGGAGTAAGTCGATCAGCCTTCGACTCATCGCATCAGCTTCATGTTCGCACTCACATGGTCCAGACGGAAGTTGCGAGCCTCCTGCAGCCGTTGCATTACTTCTCTAGCCCGCTCCTCACGGTCGGGTCTCCCCTCGTCCTTCCCCTCCTTCTCAGCCCCGCCCGTCGAGTCTAGTGATGGCGCTCCCCGCCCCTGACGTAGAAGCCGTAGCCACACTCCCCCTCCCGCAGGACATGCTCCTCCTTCTCCACCAGATGGATCGAGTAGGGAACGAAGAGCTTCTGCTCTACCAGCCTCCTGCACGTCTTCGCCTCCTCTCCTCCTTCCTCCGCTGCATCACGAGCCTTCGGCTCTTCAGCTTTGTGAACCTCATGAGCCTCCGCTGCTGTCGGAGAACTTTCTTGTTCAAGGCCGGGAGGAGCCGAAAGGGGGGGGGGAGGGGGAGACTGAGGGGAAGGGGGAGGAGAGGAGGAAGAGGATGCTTCAGCCTGAGAATCGTTTCCTACGGCGTCACCTCCCTGCGCTGCTTCTCCTCTCCCATCGGCTTCCTGTCGCACCTCCTTCACCTGCTGCTCTCCACCTGGACTCGCCAACTGGTCCTGCGTCTGACTTCCAACGGCTGTCGTCCTTTCCTCCTCATTCTGACGGGCTGCAGCTCCGTCGTCCCCCCCATGCGCGGGAGCTGCTGCTTCCTCGCCCCTGTTCTGACGCTCTTCAGCTCGCCCCTTGTTGTCCTCCAGCTCGTCTTCCAGCTGAGAGCGACTACATGTCACATCGCCATCGATTTCCCTCCTCCTTTCGTCCCGGATACCTCTCTTCTCCTGATTCTCCCTCCTCCCCTTCCCCCCTCCTCTCATCACTCTCTTCGCTTCTCAATCTCACCAGGTCGAAGCCGTAGGCAGAAAGCTTCCGCTTGAAGTTGGTCTTGCGGCAGACTCCCATCTTCCTCAATCCAGTGTAGCAAGACGTTCCGTTCTCGAGCTCGCAGGTCTTGACAAGCGCTTCGTAGCTTACGTTGTGACCTACAAGATACTCGACCTTGACGGGTAGCGGATGCCCTTCAGTGTTGAACACGTAGGGCTGTAAGAGGAGGTGAGAGGGGAGCAAGAGGAGGAGGAGTCGAGACCTCTCGGTTCAGCCAGTGGTCGCGATCGAAAAGGAGGAAAAGATATTTGAGCGTCTCTGCAAGAAAGTAGGAATCCATCCGATCCTCTAGCCTGACCCTCCCCCGTCAGACCCGTCAGAAAATTCTCCTCTCTGCCTCCCCCTCCCTCCTCTCCCTATGTACTCTTCCTGGCCCTCTTCCAACATTTTTGGTCCTCCCCGTCCTGCCCTGCCCCTCCTGATTCTCTTCCCCTTCCCCTTCTCGCCTTTTCGTCTCCACATTGGACATGGCAGCGTAGCCGCATCGAGTCTTCATGAGCGACTTGAGTGAGACGAGTATGTCCAGCCCCATCGACAGCCACACCGGGTCATGAGTCGCCTGCTCTCAGGTCAATCCACGAGGAGGCTTCGCAGGAGAAGGAAGTCGGAGGAGGAGAAGGGTGAGGGGAAGTGGGCGAGTGGCGGGAGGGAGGGCGACCGGAGGGAGGGCTCACTACCTGGTAGAGGTAATAGATGGACTCCACTGTCTCAGGCCGAAGGGGATACCCTTCGGCTCCCGTGTGAAGCTTGCCGGCCTCGAGGTTGAAGGCCTCCGGGATGCCTCCGAACCTTCGCCACAGCGAGTGGATGGCGTACTGAGACTCCACGGCCGCGTCAATGTCGCCGAAGAGAACCTGAAGCCCCGGCCAGAAGGACGCGAGCGACGAGTAGACCATCCAGCTCACCGTCCCGCTCTGCATGTTCACGTCCAGGTACCAAGCACCCTTGCGGAGGAACTTCATGATGCCCGCGTAGCACTCGGAGAACATGTGGAGCGAGTCGCCGTCGCCGAAGAGGAAGTGAGCTTTGACGAGGTACTCGTACAAGGAGTCGATGTTGGTGCCCAGCCCCGAGTCGAGATGCGTCCACACCCCGCTGTCGATGTTGATGTGGTTCCCCACCAGCCCCAGTCTTGACCGTCTGCTCCACAACCCTGCGGTCGCCCTCCTCGCCGCGAGCTCATACTTGGGGTCGAGGGTGAGGCGCGAGAGCATCACGAACTCGAGGAGGTTCGTTCCTCCTCCTGCTGCCGAAGTGATCACCGTCTCCCCCGGGGGAACCCCGCGTCGCAGGTTCACCGTGCCGTAGGGGATGCCAGTCTTGGTGTTGAAGGCAGGCATGAGACGATCGGCGAGGTCGACGGCGAGGAGGAGGAGCTCATTGTCGTACCAAGAGAGGAAGCGGAGGGCAAGGAAGTGAGCGGAGAGGAGCCCCCCCAGCGCTCGGATGTTCGTCTCGAAGACAGAGACGTTAATGTCGACGTCGAAGGACACTTCTGCCATCACCTTCCTGTCTCATCGCGTCAGCTCCCCTCCCAGCCCTCCGCTCGTCTCACCTCACTGCTGCATCAAACGCAGAGAGGTTTCCCATGATGGCGAGAGTGTCAAGAGCATCGATGAGAGTCAACTTGTACCCTCCCTGACCGAAGAGATCCTTCCCCGAGCACGAGATCGGCCTCAGCTCATCGTAAGGGTAAGCCCACTGCATGTAGCCGTTGAAGGAGAACTCAAACATCTCCACGATCTCTTTCCTCACGCTCTCCACGTAAGTTTCACTGAAGATCTCTTCTTCGAACTTCTCTGCTCCTTCATCTGCCTCTTGGAGCTCGTCAGCTGCCAGGCTGTCGCCGCTCGAGCCCCTGAGGATGTCGATCAACCTCCTCTTCATCTCGTTCAAAGTCTGCGGGTTCGACTCGGAGCTCAGAGCACGAGCGATGATCGCTTCCCCGAGATGAAACTGATCTCGGTTGGAGGCGTTCAAAAGATCGAAAGAGCTGGCGAGCTCCTCGTCTTGAAGCACAAGCCTGAGAATCTCCTTCCTCAGCCCTCGTGACCCCTCCACATCCCCCTTCCTCAACAGATCCATCACCGACTGCTCCATGGCAGCAGCGTCCATCTCGGATGCTTCACTCACCAAGGGTGTGAGCAGGAGGAGACTCAGCAAGATGGCGCGAAGAGTATTCGTGTGTCCACGCACGTGAAGGGGCATGGGAGGAGCCTTGCTCTGCTCTTGACTCCAGTCAAACGCCGTCCTCCTTTCGACTCGATTGCCTCCCCTCTCCTGCCCGTGCGGTACCAGCTTCCCCCGTGAGTCTACCTCCCTGCATGCTTCTGCCTACTTCTCCTTCTCTCTCTCCTTCTCTCTCTCCTCCTCTCTCTCTCCTCCTCTCGCTCCCCTCGCTCTCCCCTCGCCACCCTCATCAGCACCGCAGGTGAAATGCTCTTATGAGGCGAGCGAAAGATGATCCGCCTCAAAGAATCGAGTACTAATTGGAGAGACGAATAGTCTTGCTGTCTTTATTTTGTCGTTAATTATACACTGAGGCAGACTCGAGTTGTTGAAAAGGAAGAAGTCAACGGACTGGCAATCCGTCAAACTGAGAGTTGGGGAGGGAGGAGGAGCAGGGGAGAGAAGAGCAGGGGAGAGGGGAGGAGACGAGAGCAGAGAGCCCGTGGCTCATTCAGTCAGATGGCGAATCAAGCCGCAAGGGAAGAGGCAGAGGCGAAGCTGTCACCTCCTGCATCTCCTGGCTCGATTTCTTCTCCTTCCTCCCCTTCTTCACCATCCTCTTCAGCCATATACGTTGCGTACGAGAGATTGGCTAAAGGACTGCTGAAACAAACGAACCAGGGGATTGTCAAATCTGTGCTAGCACAGAAATACGACAAGCTGGTGGACGACATCTTTGATGGAGGATACAGGGCCCCCAAAATGCGCGTCATCATCGAGAGAGCTCGCGAGGCACAACAGAGCAGAGAACCTTGCGAGTGGAAGGGTCCAGCCGCGAAGCCTTCGGTCCGACGGCAGGTGCAGCAGATGCTGCGAGCAGCTCGCACAAAGTTGGAGAAGAAAGAATACAAAGAAGAAGAGGACGGGAGACCACAAGTGGCTCAAGTCTGCAAGATCGAGGAGGAGAACCCTTCAACGGTCCTTCTTCACCCCCAACCATCCAACCACAGCCCCCCTCCACAGCCCCTCTCTGATCGTTCGCCTCCTTCGCTTCCTGGCGCCTTCAAGCCCTCGCGTCCTCACCATGTCGAGGCACAGGAGGTGAGCAGAGCAGAGCGACCTGCAAGAGACGAGCTGAGATTGATTGCTTGCAGACCTCCTTCCTGGAACCAGAACTAGCGGAACAGACAGCTAGTTCCGCTGCCCCCGCTGCTCGTCGCGTTTCTGTGAGGAGATCGACAGACGCTGATCGTCCGAGGGCAAAGGTAAGGCACTACCTGACCTTGGCGATTTGCTGCCTTGGCTTCCTCTGAGTGCGTTGACACAGAACAAGAAGAAAGTCTCGAATCGAACTCACAAGACCGAAGACGAGCCCGCACAAGAGCCTCCTGTCGTCCAGGAGGAGAGGCAGCCGCAGTCTCGCTCACCGGCTTCTTCTCCTCGACTTCCTACCCGGGGCAAAACTTCAGGGTCGACGCGGCAGGACGTGCCAAGCGAACCGACGAGAAGAAGCGAGAAAGTTGGAGGAGCCTCATCGATGAATTCTCTTCCTCCTCCTTCTCATCACCACGAGCAAACTCAGGGACCCCCCGGGACTGCGAGGATCTGGCAGTCGAGCGGGGAGGTGAAGAGAGTCAGGAAAGTTGACAAGGCCACTCAGTGGGCACGGAGGAAGGAGGAGGCAGCTGAGCCCTCAGCTCGTTCAAGCCCTCGCGAGCCCGCCCCAAGGAAAGAAGAAGAGATTCTTGCAGTTGAAGTTGCGCAGGAATCTCCGCCACCGGCTGGGAGTGTCAAGACTTCTCTGTTCCTGACTCCTCGTCCTCCCATGCCCTCGACAGCCCCCACCAGAACCTCCAGCTCTCCTTCGGCTCTCCCTCACCAACAGGCTCGGACGCCAATGCGAGCCGCTGAAAAAGAAGAGCAGGATCAGCTTCTGCCCTATGTGAGTCTCGTCCTCGCCCTCGTCCTCGTCCTCATCTTCCCTCCACCTCCTCCACCTCCTCCTCCTCCTACTACTACTACTACTACTACTACAACTGCTGCTGCTGCTGCCGCCGCCGCCGCCGCCGCTGCTGATGCGCTGCTCTGACTGGTGGCAGCCGACCAAGAGGACAACTTCTGTTCGCACGGGCCGGCATGCGAGAACGAGCGACACCCAGGGGCTGGGTGAGGGGGAGAGGCTATATGGAGTGTGGGTGCCCGTCATCGACCCCATCAAAGTTGACCGGAAGGTGCGGAGGAAGAGCTAGAGCTAGAGCTAGAGCTAGAGCTAGAGCTAGAGCTAGAGCTAGAGCTAGAGCTAGAGCTAGAGCTAGAGCTAGAGCTAGAGCTAGAGGTAAAAGGCGTGGGGTGGGGGGCGGGGTTGAGAAGTAGATTCTTTGCTGACATGAACTGAGATGGACTTTCAGTTTCCTCTGCAGCATTTTCAGCGCCAGAAGCAAAAGATCGAACAACGAAAGCTGCCGCACGAGAAGCTTTTCCTCGACCTCCTGTGCTGCCAAATGGACAACAAGTCGAAGCCTTTCTTTCAGACTCTCCTGCCCCTGCACGAACAAGCCGTGGGCAACGTCAGTTTCGCTTTGACAGAGGTCAATGCCAGGGAGAAAGCAGCCCAGAGCGAAGGAGGACGCAGAGGGAGGAGAGAGGAGAAGGGGGAGACGAGAAAATCCGACTTGCTGTAGATGATGTCGAAGAGGACGATGGAGTGCCTGAAGGTGTGAACGATTGAGAGCAGAAGGAAGATGCTCGTAGGGGATAGAGGGCGGGAGGGTCAGCGAGACGTTATCAGATGGGCAGAGATAGCAGGAGTAGTCTATTCCTGTTAGAGCAGAACCAACAGCTGCTTCACTGTGTCCAGATGGATTTCTTGGTCGCCATGATCGCTGTCAGCAGCGTGTCAGTCTCTGTCTCACCTGCCGGCCCGCAGCTCACCCGCTACTCTCTCATACCATCCCGTCAGGTCATTCTTCAACAACCAATTCTCCATAAGAGTCGATCTTACATGCTGCAGTCAACTTCAGCGCCCTCCCCCAAACATCCTCCTTCCTCCTCCTCTGCCGCCCCCATCACCACCATCACTTTCACATTCTTGCGTACCTTGCACATCTCCGCAAGCGCCCATAGCATCAAGTCTGCAGGTCCCACAGAAGAACCTCCGATGTAGTTGCCTTGCAGACCCTTCTTGAACGTCTCCCCGTACTCGCTCAGCGGCTTCACCTCGGGTTTGGACTTCCTGCATGGAGACTCAACCCTGAGCAGCTGCCGGGCGACTCACCCGACCTGATGCGGTCGGGGGCTTGAGACACCATGAGGAGGACGAGCGGCTTGACGAAGGTCTGGGAGCAACAGTCGTCGGAGAAGAAGGCGTCGACGAAGTTGGAGCGATCCTTGTCATCGGAGAAGAGCTCAATCTCCACCGCCACCATCACTCCGAAGGTGATCTCCTTCATGAGATTCAACTCGTGCTGGGTGGCCTCTCGGCCGAAGAGACAAGGAGATAAACACTTTGCTATGATGAACGAGTCGTTGACCTGAAACACCATGACCCTCAAGCCAAACAGCGACGACTTGACCTGCATGTCGTTGACGACAAGGATCGGAATCTTCTGATACTTTGACCAGGAGATCTCAGACTTGAACGGGTAGTTCACTTGCACCACGTCATATGGAACCTCTGCCCACGCAAGAAGCGCCCTGACGATCGCGCATGGTGGACTTGCCTCGAACTGATACAGCTTGACCTAATAGAGGACGTGACCTAACTTGCCTGGGAGTTCCTTGGCAGGGAACTGAGGTGGATGATAGAATGAAAGGTGCGATGAAACAAGGAAGCAGGGGAACAGAGGAACAGGGGAGGGAGCAGGGGTGGGAGCAGGGGTGGGAGCAGGGGTGGGAGCAGGGGTGGGAGCAAGGGCAGTGAGCAAGGGAGGGAGAAGAGCTCACTGTATGGATCTCATCCTTGCTCTTCAAGCTGAATGGCTGCGGCGGATCTTCTCCTTCGTTGTTCGGCTCCCACGCCATCGCCTAGTCGGGGAGATCCTCGTACCCTTCTTTTCCTCTTAGGAGTCTCAGTCACGGGGCGGGCCCGGTGGCGGGTCGGTTTTGAGCTCCATACCGAAATAGATCAAAGTTTTTACTTAACTCAATACTCCCACCCCCTACCCCTCCCATTCCACTGATGTCACCCTACCCGACAAAGGTTCAGATCAGTACCCCTAATTCATACCTGAAGTACCCCCCTTGTATCCTGTACAATTGTGTCCTGCAATTGAGTACCCCTCCTTTTGAGTCCACCCTCCCCTAGTAGTGAAATTCGCAACCATGAGTACAGTCCCATCGCCCCCATCTTCATAAAACACAATCGACCGACAGCCAGGCAGGCAGCCAGGCAGCCAGGCAGGCAGGCGGTAGACACAGAAACAGTTACAGTGAGCGAACAAGAGGAGGCAGGTAGGCAGAGACAGAGAGGTAGACAGCGAAAGCCTAGTGAGGAGGATGTGGGTAAAGGGTAGAGACAGAATGAAAGGAAGGCTGCGACTGACAATAAGAGCAGAGAAGACTTGAAGAACACCATCGGAAGGGATCGGAGCAACAGGGTCGATAAAGATGATTGACACTGAAAGAGAAATTCGTGTGGGAGTGACGACGTAGAGCTCATGTGCCTTGGTCAGATGGCGTGAGTGACAGCAATACCCGTCGACCACGTGAACATCCACTGGACGATTGGCTGGCCTCTGTTGTTATAACATGTTGAGCTAAGAAACAATCTGAAGCTCGGGACTGGCAACATCATGTATGCCGAGGGCATGAGATATGCAGGTCCACGCGAAGAGAACATCCCCGACTTTGGAACGTCACAGATCGTACAGGAGATTGACAGTGAGTGCTCGATCCTTTGTTGGGAGTCTTCCTTCTCACTTTTGATGGTTGACATCTTGCTGCTCGAAAAGGTGCTGAGAAGATTGCGCGCGAGGTCGACAGGCAACTTCGGTATGGATCCACTTTGAACGTGGTCCGAAGGACAGCAGCCGACGGGTCAGGTTAGCGATCTTGCAGATCCAGACAAGGCTGCCGGTTGACAAGCTCTCAGTCCGGTACGAAGCTGGAGCAGAAGTGCTGTCACAGGCAGCAGTTGGTGATGACCTGCTGGGATACACTGAGATGTCAGCTCGATGCTGCCTCAGTCTTCTTGCCTGATGCCTCTTGTCCTTAGCGTGTCGGGGCGAAACTCAATCCGCACGGGTTCGCGAATCTACAACCGCACAAATGATGCCACGCCGCTCACGCACACGCACACGCGGCTGGTGAATGTCGCTGTGGTTGAGCGACGAAATCGAGAGTGAGTGGTGCTTGCTGTCTCTGTCATCGTATAATTTTCTTACAGCCCAGGAGATGGAACTGATTCGGCAACGGTACTTTCTGTTGTGCGATGAGGGAAGATGGTTGACTTAGAATCTTCAGTTTGAAGTGCAGGAAGCGACGGTCGTGCCCAAGAAGGCTGGAATGAGCATCTTAATGTTTGACTTGTGAGCGATTTGCTTGTTTCTTGCGCAGATTCATCGACATTCTCTCATGTCTCCTTGCTCCTCACGTACTAGTCGCAGGTGCTGCTCTAAGGGACGGAGGACAAGGCCCAAAAAGCCTCGGGCTCGGAGTGGAATGAGGGAAGACCCATCGCCAGAGTGCTGCTTGCCTCGAGTTTGGCCTAGTCGTGAACTCGTTTCAGGCAAGTCGGAGCAGCTTGGGAGGCTCCGTCAAGGGTCAAGGTCTGGGATCCGACGATAGACTACCACCTCTCGTCTGTGCAGCGAGCTCGTCAATCGAGGTGACTGTGCTATGCCGTTGGCTCGTTTCCTCAACTAAAACAGCAGTGACGTTCAACTCCGGCTGCTCCGATCGAACTCAGAAGAATCTCACGAGGTACCTCCGCTGTGCCGCCATGTCACTCACTTGGTTGACTCGCATGGCCTTAGGCTGGTTCCTCTCACTCCCTGCCCTTTCAGAGGTGTGTTGCTAGCGCTGTCTTCTCACCTCAACTCTGAGGCAGGTCGGATGGGTGGACATGATTATGCAGGCTTCTCCGATATCTGGATTTTGAACCAAAGATAAACAAGGTGAAGATTTTTTCCAGATGGAAGTCCATCACATTTTGTTGTTGTGCAATGAAGAATCGAAGTTTCATGACATCCCCGCAAGGAACTTGAACAGATCTACGAGAGTGACAACACCCTGAAGGGAGCCCTTCTCATCCAGACATGCCAGTCTGGTGGTTCGTGCGATTGAAAAGCAAGAGATGACCTACAAATGAATTTCTTGAGCCTCGACAGCACCACGACCAACACTCAATACCTTGGACAGTGGGTCGGTGATGAGGCAGTGCTTCGGTTTGCTTTCACCATTCTCCGCCTGCTCGTCCAGCTCTTATTGCTCTCATTCCCTTCATCGGCCGTCTTACCCGCTGCAGAGCATGCTCCACAGGTACATTCAAGTCCAGCTCCGTTAGGCCCAGGATATCGGCGTCTGAAAACCTGGAGCAGGAAATTCTCAAGGCAAATTTGCTACAACAAAGCTGACAGAGAAGAGAAGAGAAGAGAAGAGACGAGAAGAGACGAGAAGAGAAGAGAGAAGAGAAGAGAAGAGAAGAGAAAAGGGAAGAGAAGAGAAGAAGCTTGAGCCTCACATGTCCATAAACTTCCCATTAGCATCCACCACAGGGACCCCCGAGATTCCATTTTCACTCATCAATTTCAAAACGCTGAGTCGAGCTGTCAATGAAGGAAGCCATCAAGCTCGACCTACTCTTTGACGGGCTCGTTCGGATGGACCTTAATCACTTTAGACGCTTCCATCGTTCCAATCCCTGACAAAGAGAAGAGATCAAAATGCAAACCTCAGAGAGGCATTCTAACCCGCTTCTCGGAGAGTTCCTTTCAAAGTTCCTTCATGGAGAAATCAGAATATATTCATCAGCAATGACCTGACATTCTCACCTAAATCTTGTTCCTGGTGATAGTACAAAAATCGGAACAATAACAGATACGTGATCTGTCCAATCTTGCACAACAATTAATGGGGTTTTGGTAGCCAATCGTCTTACTATGCATTGATTTAAAAGTGGAGTATTCCCCTCTCGTTCCAGAACTGGCAACACTACCAACAAATCAATCGATTTGGCAGGACAGCAGGCAAAAGTTACCTCGACAGTCGTTTCTAAGAAGAGTGCGCAGGACACACAGCAAGTCATCGTCCGGTTTCACCTCAACGCTGCTCTGTAGTAATCGTCAAACAACTTTCGTACTGCATCAGCAGTCAACAAACCTCGGGACAACCAGACGGTCTTTCGGAGTTACTCAACCAATATGCAAGATCAATCGATCGCAGCGAATCTTTGAAGTTATTTTCTGATGAAGTACAAAACAGGAGCATTTCCAAGAGGTCCGACACAGTGAGCATACCCATGTATCGATCTGATCGTCCATCCCATACAGGAACTGCTGTCTGCTCGTTAGCGGCCATTACGTGAAATGCTCCGAACGCTGACATCGACGCATCGAGCAGCACCACTTTACCGCTCTCAGGAAGCACGTCATACGCGGTGTGCGATCGGAAAAAATTGAAGATGTTGTCCCTGTGAAGGGATTCGATCGTGTCACGTTCTGACTGGTGCTCGTTGGCAGTAGCCATCCTTGAAAATTGTTCCAATCACTCGGCCGATCGGAACAGATTGAGTCCAAGAGACGCGCGACGACTCGCTCCTCAGTAGAGAAAACTTAGAGGAAAAACATCCATCTGGACATTCTCAGCTTTTAAGATCCTGACAGCTTTGTGAAAAAGTTGCGATACGATGAAACAAAGCCTGGAGCAGCCTCTGTTGAAAACATGAAATCAGATCCGAGAGATTCAATGTGCATAGGGAGAGTACAAGATAGCTTTTCTGTCGTCTGTGCAATTCGTATTCTAAACTCCTTCTAATTGACGCACCCATTGACTTATCATCGTCAAATCTGACCATACCCCAGTTCTCTTCACTACCTGAAAATCAGCTCTGCTTGACAGCTAATTGTCCATGATTTCTCCGCATCGTTCCGATACTTTCACAATCTCATTCTCTCACAACGTTGCTCAAGGTTGCCTCAGCGCTTCACGTAAAACATCGTATTCTGCCCTGTGCCACCTACACTCAATCTGCTTTTAGAAGGACATCCTTTTCGGATCTGATTGCATGTCAACAACCTGCCTTCATACCAAAACTTCTTACTCTATCATTGAGACACTATCGCTTTCCCACTAGCTGCCACTCGGTGTATACGATGCATAGCAGTGATCTCAGCTATCCTTTGGGAATGCTCAGCTCACTTGCTTCTTCGCACTTTCCATCACACTCAATGTCATCGATCGCAGTAAGCTTGCTTCCTCGTTCTCACACTGGTGCATCATCGTCTACTGTACTGCAGATAGCTGCTCTTTCTACCGTGAGCAGCTCTTTCTCGTCTCTACACGAGTTTCCTGGAGCGATGTTGGGCATCTACTGCCAACCCCCGTCCTACAAGACCCATCGCGTCCAACCTCATCTCATTTCCTTTCTGTCCTCCGTCATCATCGCAATTCTAAAAGCATCTTCTGCTAAAACGCCTCCTCCTCCTCCTCCTCCTCCTCCTCCTCCTCCTCCTCCTCCTCCTCCTCCTCCTCCTCCTCCTCCTCCTCCTCCTCCTCCTCCTCCTCCTCCTCCTCCTCCTCCTCCTCCTCCTCCTCCTTCTCCTTCTCCTTCTCCTCCTCCTCCTCCTCCTCCTCCTCCTCCTTCTCCTCCTCCTCCTCTCTCGCTTCCCTCGCCCCCTCTTTCGCGCTCGCGGACATGCGAGCGGCAGGGAGGCCACGATGGGGGTAGGGTGGTAGGGTAGTAGGGTAGCTTGAAATTGTAAGGGTAGAATAGAAAAGTAAGGGTGGGGTAGTAATAGAGAGATTATCATATGCCATGGACCTTAGAAACAGGGGTGATCCCTCGAAGGGGGTAGTCTTTGTAGGGGTGATCATTGATGCACTTATGCTGGTGGGGGTTCAATGTTCAATGGGGGTAGTCAGAGGGGGGTGGTGCGGACTGGAGGGTACCAAGCTTGAGTTGCGAGCGCATGAGAAGATATCCCAGAATGTTTTTTTGTGTGAAAATTGAAATTTTAAGATAAATATTGAAATTAGAAGGTCAAATATGAATCTTAGTATCGCGACTAAATCGATTCAAATCATCATAGAATCCTGATCCGAGGCGAGCTCGAATCACTAGCCTCCACTTGAGTAATAAATCTAAAGATATAAACGATGCACTGTGAGAGGAAAGGGAGAGAAGAGGAAGAGGAAGAGGAAGAGGCTCTCCTCTCCTCTCC